TTTGAACCCCAAGAACGGGTTTACTAGATCGTTTAAGGACGCTAAAACATGCAAGTAAGTGTTTATCGATACAATCCTGATGTAGATGACGTGCCCGTCATGCGTGACATGGAAGTGGACTTGCCAGACGGCAAAGACCTCATGGTCCTGGACGTGCTGGCGCTGTTGAAAGACCAGGATCCAACGCTGAGCTATCGTCGCTCGTGTCGTGAAGGTGTGTGCGGCTCAGACGGTATGAATATGAACGGCAAGAATGGTCTGGCGTGTATCACGCCGGTTTCAACTGTCGTGAAACGCAACAAGCTGATTCTGCGCCCGCTACCTGGTTTGCCCGTCGTGCGTGATCTGGTTGTCGACATGACCCAGTTCTACAAACAATATGAAAAAATACAGCCATACCTGATCAACGACACACCGCCGCCTGCCACAGAACGGCTGCAATCGCCGGAAGACCGTGAAGAACTGGACGGACTCTACGAATGTATTTTGTGCGCATGTTGCTCAACCTCCTGCCCATCTTTCTGGTGGAACCCTGACAAATTTATTGGCCCGGCAGGACTGCTGCAGGCTTATCGCTTTCTGGCAGACTCGCGGGACACAGCCACTGCTGAACGCCTGTCCAATCTGGATGACCCTTTCAGTGTATTTCGCTGCCGTGGCATCATGAATTGTGTCAACGTCTGCCCGAAAGGATTAAACCCAACCCGTGCGATTGGTAAGATCCGCACTATGCTTATGCAACAGGGTACCTAGGAGGTACCTGAGACGGCTGACGTTGATGAATGACAATGCCGAACAACAAGCCTGTCGCGATGGTGTCGTGACGGGCTTTTGTGTTTTTGACCCAGGCGCGCAAAGTGCCTGACGGAGGCTGAATTTTGAGCGACACATACATGCAGCGCATGCTGCGCAGTTCTCACTTGAGTGGCCAGAACGCTGCATATATCGAATCTATGTATGAATCGTTCCTGACCGATCCCAATACTGTACCAACCAACTGGCGCAGCTATTTTGAGCAGCTGCCCATGGTAGAAGGTGTTGTTGGCCCAGACACGCCTCGTTTAGCTGTGGAAAACCACTTTGAACGGCTCGGTCGTAACCGTCTCAAAGCCAAACCTGAGAAGGTGTCTACCCACATCTCCACGGAGCATGAAGCGAAGCAGATGCGTGTGCAGGATCTGATATCTGCGTATCGTCACCGCGGTCATAAAAAAGCCAACATTGATCCGCTGGGCATGATGGATAGACCCAGCATGCCGGTCCTCGATCTGGCCTATCATCATCTTTCGCCTGCTGATCTGGACGAAACGTTCCAAACCGGAACTTTCCACTACGGTGAAGGCAGCGCCAAACTGCGCGACCTGGTTGACGCATTGGAAAGCACCTACTGCGGCTCTATCGGCGCAGAATATATGCATATCGTAGATGCATCAGAACAGCTATGGGTGCAGCAGCGACTGGAAACAGCGCGCAGCCGCCCGAACTTTTCAGCAGAACAGAAACACGCGATTCTGGAACGACTTGGCGCTGCTGAAGGTCTCGAGAAGTATTTGCACCGTCGTTATCCCGGCACAAAAAGGTTTGGTCTCGAAGGTGGTGAAAGCCTAATCCCGATGTTGCACGAGTTGTTGCAGCGACTCGGCTCCAAAGGCGTTATTGAAGCTGTCATCGCGATGGCACACCGCGGTCGTTTGAATGTCCTGGTTAACGTGCTGGGAAAAAATCCTTCTGACCTGTTTGATGAATTTGACGGCAGAGTCACCCGCAACGAAGGTTCCGGCGACGTCAAATACCATCAGGGTTTTTCTTCAAACGTTATGACCCCTGGTGGCGAAATGCACCTTGCGTTGCAGTTCAATCCCTCGCACCTGGAAATTGTTAATCCGGTAGTTGAAGGCTCGGTAAGGGCGCGTCAGGACCGCCGCCGGGACTACGAAGGTGGTAAGGTTGCGCCGATCATCATTCACGGTGATGCAGCCTTTGCAGGCCAGGGAGTCGTCATGGAAACCTTCCAGATGTCCGAAACCCGCGGATTCAAAACCGGCGGCAGCATCCATATCATCATCAATAACCAGATTGGTTTCACTACCCATCGGCAGATCGATGCGCGATCCACCGAATACTGCACCGAAGTGGCTAAAATGGTGCAGGCGCCGATTTTCCACGTTAATGGCGACGATCCGGAAGCTGTTGTGTTTGTCACCCAGCTGGCAGCTGACTATCGGATGCAGTTTCGCACTGACGTGGTTATCGACCTTGTCTGTTACCGTCGTCGCGGTCACAACGAAGCTGAAGAACCCATGAAAACTCAGCCTCAGATGTATCAGAAAATCAGATCTCATCCGACTACGCGGACACTGTATGTAGAGAAACTGATTGCGCAGGGCATTGTGAGCACCGCGGAAGCGGACGCGTTAGCGGAAGAAAATCGCGAGAAACTTGAGTCTGGTGGAAATGTAGCGCTGTCCATCGTGCAGGAACCGGATGAAAAGCTGTTTGTCGATTGGACCCCGTACCTGGGACATGACTGGCGCACCGTGGCAGATACCACCTTCGACAAGGCCCGCTTTAAAGAGCTGTCGGGGCGGCTGGGCAACCTCCCCGAAGGATTCGCAGTCCATCGCCAGGTGAAGAAAATTCTGGAAGATCGCCACAAAATGGCCGCTGGCGCCATGCCGGTTAACTGGGGTTTTGCGGAGACCATGGCATACGCAACCCTCATCGATCAGGGTGTGCCCGTTCGTCTGACAGGACAGGATGTTGGTGTGGGGACATTTTCCCATCGGCATGCTGCGCACCACAATCAGAAAACAGGCAAACGCATCATTCCCCTGAATTTGTTGCGGGAGGATGTGACTTTTGACCTTTACGATTCTCTGTTGTCTGAAGAAGCTGTGCTGGCATTCGAATACGGATATGCAACCACTGCTCCCAATACGCTGGTTGTCTGGGAAGCGCAGTTTGGCGATTTTGCCAACGGCGCACAGGTGGTCATTGATCAGTTCATCAGCTCCGGCGAAACCAAATGGCTTCGCCTGTGCGGCTTAACCATGCTGTTGCCGCATGGTTTTGAAGGGGCAGGCCCCGAACACTCGTCAGCCCGCCTGGAACGCTTTTTACAACTCTGCGCCGAACATAATATGCAGGTTTGTGTGCCTTCGACCCCGGCACAGGTGTATCACATGCTGCGACGACAGGCGTTGCGCCCAACAAGAAAGCCGTTAGTTGCGCTCACGCCAAAGTCGCTGCTGCGCCACAAGCTCGCGGTCTCCACACTTGACGCCATGTGCGACGGTTACTTCCGCAATGTTATTGGCGAAATAGATCCTATTCCTGCTGAAAAGGTTGAACGGCTGGTGATTTGCAGCGGCAAGGTCTATTACGACCTGCTTGAAGCCCGCAGAGCTGCGGAAGCCGACAATGTTGTCATTATTCGTCTCGAGCAACTCTACCCCTTCCCGGAGGAAGAGTTCGCAGCGGCCCTGGAACCCTATCCGAACCTCAAAGAGGTTGTCTGGTGTCAGGAAGAACCGATGAACCAGGGTGCCTGGTACTCAACCCAGCACCGTCTGCGACGCACCATTCTGGCCCGAGATGAAAGCCTCTATCTGGCCTATGCTGGTCGTGACGCCTATGCGGCGCCGGCGGTCGGTTACGCTTCAATTCACAACGAACAACAAGCGCAGTTAGTCAATGACGCGCTGTTTGGTTAACAAAAAGTAAAGGTACTTAAGAAACAATATGGACATCAAGGCCCCCACATTTCCGGAGTCGATCACCGAAGGAACGGTTGCACAATGGCATAAACAGCCTGGAGAGGCCGTCAGCCGTGATGACCTGTTAGCCGATATTGAAACGGACAAGGTGGTCATAGAAGTGGTTGCACCGGACGACGGCGTGCTCATTGAGGTCCTTAAAGCCGAAGGTGATGTCGTCGAATCTGAAGAGGTCATCGCACACTTTGAGGCAGGCGAACACGCTGCACCCGCTCAGAGCAAAACATCGGAGTCCGCAGACGAACCCAGCGCGCAATCGTCCACTGCATCCGAAAGCAGTGAACCAACGTCCGATGAAGATAAAATCGCAAGTCCGGCGGCGCGCAAAGTCGCCGCTGAGTCTGGTGTCAGCATCGATACGATTACCGGCACTGGGCGTGACGGCCGCATAACCAAAGAAGATGTTGCCAGAGCGGTTGCCCAAATGCCTTCAGCACCTGGGCGAGCGACACCTGCACAAGCGACACCTTCAACGGCAGGTATGGACGATAGCCTGCTCGGCCTGGACGCTGACGGCGAACGCGTGGAACGACGTGTTCCCATGACCCGGATGCGTGCCAGTATTGCCAAACGGCTGGTCGAAGCGCAGCACAACGCAGCCATGCTGACGACATTCAACGAAGTTGATATGTCTCACATTGTTGCTATGCGCAAGAGGTATCAGGAACAGTTTCAGAAGACGCACAATGGCACGCGATTGGGTTTCATGTCATTTTTCCTTCGGGCGGCCGTCGAAGCGCTGAAGCGTTTCCCTTCAGTAAACGCCTCCATTGACGGCAATGATATTGTCTACCATGGCTTCTACGATATTGGCGTTGCCGTCTCTACAGAAAAGGGTCTGGTTGTCCCCGTGGTGCGCGATGCAGACGCTCTCAGTCTGGCCCAGATCGAAGACCAGATTAACGCTTACGGCGAAAAAGCCCGGTCTGGCAAAATGGCTCTGGAAGACATGGCTGGCGGCACGTTCACCATTTCCAATGGCGGCGTGTTTGGCTCGCTGATGTCCACACCTATTTTGAATCCACCGCAGACCGGTGTTCTTGGATTGCACACCATTGCGGATCGCGCAGTTGTGGTAGATGGAGAGATTGTGGTGCGACCCATGATGTATCTGGCGTTGTCTTATGATCACCGACTGATTGACGGGCGCGAAGCCGTACAGTTCCTGGTGGCCATCAAAGGTATGATCGAAGATCCAGCACGTATTCTTTTGGAACTATAGCTATGAGTGAACAGTACGACGTTGTTGTCATTGGTGCCGGTCCTGGAGGATATGCTGCAGCAATCCGTTGCGCCCAACTGGGATTATCAACCGCATGTATCGAAAAAGACAAAGGCAAAGATGGTGAACCCACTCTGGGTGGGACCTGCCTGAATTGGGGCTGTATCCCGTCCAAAGCCTTGTTAGACACTTCACACAAGTATATTGAGGCGAAAGAGCACTTCGCTGACATCGGCATTACCACCAGTAATGTCGAAGTGGATGTGCCCAAAATGATCGCGCGCAAAGACGAAGTCGTGAAAGGCCTGACCGGCGGTATCGCCGGCCTGTTCAAAGGTAATGGGGTCACCGCACTTTATGGCACAGGCAAACTCCTGGCCAACAAACAGGTTGCTTTTACCGACCACGACGGCAATGAATCCATGCTGCAGGCTGAACATGTCATTCTTGCACCAGGATCTGTACCCGTCTCAATCAAACCCGCACCGCTTACAGAAGACTTTATTGTCGACTCTACCGGCGCACTGGAATTCACCGAGGTACCTAAGCGTCTGGGTGTCATTGGTGCTGGTGTCATCGGCCTGGAACTCGGCAGCGTATGGCAGCGTCTGGGCGCTGAAGTTGTGATCCTGGAAGCACTGGAAGAATTCCTGCCCATGGCAGATGAGCGCATCGCACGAGATGCTAAAAAGATTCTCACCAATCAGGGTTTAGACATTCGCCTGGGCACACGAGTGATTGGCGCCGAAGTTAAAGATGGTGCGGTTGAAGTGAGTTATCAGGACAGTGAAGGCGATCAGTCGCTACAGGTCGATAAACTTATCGTTGCTGTTGGTCGACGGCCGTTTACTGAAGACCTGCTGTCGCCCGACTGTGGCGTCAATCTGGACGAACGTGGTTTCCTCTACGTTAATGATCTCTGCCAGACTGATGCGCCAAATGTCTATGCAGTGGGAGATGTTGTCCGTGGCCCGATGTTGGCCCACAAAGGTACCGCAGAAGGTGTGATGGTGGCTGAACGCATCGCCGGATTTAAGCCCCTGGTAAACTACGATACAATTCCCAGTGTTATTTATACACATCCCGAAATTGCCTGGGTGGGCAAAACAGAGCAACAGCTCAAAGCTGACGGTGACAACTATAAAGTGGGCAGCTTTCCATTTGCTGCCAGCGGTCGAGCTCTGGCTGCTAATGATACCCAGGGAAGCGTTAAGGTGATTGCCGACGCGGACAGTGACCGTATCCTCGGTGTCCATATTCTGGGACCGCAAGCCTCAGAATTAGTAGCCCAGGCGGTCATCGCGATGGAGTTCGACGCCAGCGCAGAAGATTTAGGTCTGATCATGTTTGCTCACCCGACATTATCCGAATCGGTGCATGAAGCCGCCCTGGGTGTTGCCGGGCATGCCATTCATATGATCAATCGCAAGAAGAAATAGTCATTATACGTAAACTACCGGTCCATCCAGGAGGGGACATACTTTGAATTTACATGAATACCAGGCCAAGGGGCTATTTGCCGAATACGGCTTACCCGTCTCAGAAGGCTACGCAGTAGATACTGCAGAGGAAGCTGTTGAAGCAGCCAAAAAAATTGGCGGTGACCGCTGGGTTGTCAAAGTGCAGGTCCATGCTGGCGGCCGAGGCAAGGCCGGCGGCGTTAAACTGGCCGACTCTTATGACGAAATCAGAGCCTTTGCAGAGCAGTGGATCGGCAAAAACCTGGTCACCTTTCAAACAGATGAAAATGGTCAGCCCGTCAGCAAAATCTATGTAGAAAGCTGCACTGACATTGACCAGGAGTTGTATCTGGGTGCAGTTGTGGACCGTGGCAGCCGCCGGGTAATCTTTATGGCTTCAACAGAAGGCGGTGTCGAAATTGAAACCGTCGCCGAAGAAACGCCTGAGAAAATCCTCCGTGCAGTCATCGACCCCTTTGTGGGTGCCCAGCCTTATCAGGGTCGGGAACTGGCATTTGCGCTCGGCCTGGAAGGTGCCCAGGTGCGTCAGTTTACTAACCTGTTTATGGGGCTGGCTAAGCTGTTCGAAGAATCCGATTGTGCGCTGCTGGAGATCAACCCTCTTGTCGTGACCAGCGAAGGCAATATTCACTGCCTGGACGCGAAAGTCACCATCGACGGTAACGCGCTGTACCGACAGCCGAAACTCGCTGCGATGAATGATCCGAGTCAGGAAGATGAACGCGAAGCTCAGGCAGCCGCGTTTAACCTTAACTACGTCGCGTTAGACGGCACCATCGGTTGTATGGTGAATGGCGCCGGGCTTGCGATGGGCACGATGGACCTGGTGAAGCTGCATGGCGGTAACCCGGCAAACTTCCTTGATGTAGGCGGCGGCGCGACTAAAGAAGCGGTTGCCGAGGCATTTAAGATTATCCTGTCTGACGAAGCTGTTACGGCGGTGCTGATCAATATCTTTGGCGGCATTGTCAGCTGTGCAACTATTGCCGAAGGCATTATCGGTGCAGTTGAAGAAGTTGGTGTCAATGTACCCGTGGTTGTTCGATTTGAAGGCAATAATTCTGAGCTCGGTAGAAAAACGCTGGCCGACAGCGGTTTGAATATTATTCCTGGCGAATCATTGGTAGATGCGGCGCAAAAAGCAGTTGCAGCAGCAGGAGGTCAGGCATGAGCGTATTAATTGACAAGAACACCAAAGTTATCTGTCAGGGTTTTACCGGGTCACAAGGTACCCTGCACAGCGAACAGGCGCTTGCCTATGGCACGCAACTGGTAGGCGGTGTTACACCCGGGAAAGGTGGTACAACCCATCTCGGTCTGCCGGTTTTTAACACCGTGGCTGACGCGGTTGCCGCCACCGGCGCTACCGCATCCGTGATCTATGTACCTGCGAGCTTCTGTAAAGATTCAATCCTGGAAGCTCTGAATGCGGGCATCAAACTCATCGTGTGTATCACCGAAGGCATTCCAACCCTGGATATGCTGGCTGTCAAAGCACGCCTGGATATCAGTGACGCACGTATGATCGGACCAAACTGTCCTGGTGTGATTACACCTGGAGAATGCAAAATTGGCATCATGCCAGGTGATATTCATCTGCCGGGTAAAGTGGGCATCGTGTCGCGCTCAGGCACCTTGACTTACGAAGCCGTCAAGCAGACTACGGATCGTGGCTTTGGCCAGAGCACCTGTGTCGGTATTGGTGGCGATCCTATTCCTGGCAGCCACTTCATCGACATTCTGACAATGTTTCAGGAAGATCCAGATACAGAAGCCATTGTCATGGTCGGAGAAATCGGCGGCACAGCTGAGGAAGAAGCAGCGGCCTTCATCAAAGCCAATGTCACCAAGCCCATTGTTGGCTACATCGCAGGCGTGACGGCCCCTCCGGGGAAACGTATGGGCCATGCGGGGGCGATCATCGCTGGCGGAAAAGGTACCGCAGATGAGAAGTTTGCCGCGCTTGAAGATGCCGGCGTGCGCACAGTACGCAGCCTGGCTGAAATCGGCGACGCTCTGGCTGAGGTAACCGGCTGGTCCTAACTATGTGACGTACCAATCAGGTAACGTCAGAGGCAGGGCACAACATCGCGTGTGCCCATGCCTTGAATTTTCCCAATCTATCCCCATCTAGCAGCCATCAAAACTGCCAAAAAGAGTGTTATGAGCGAAGCTACTTCTGAACCCACTGTGGAAACTCATCGATTCCAAACCGAAGCGAAACAGCTGCTGAAGCTGATGATTCACTCGCTGTATTCCAATCGCGAAATATTTTTACGCGAGCTGATCTCCAATGCCTCAGATGCCATTGATAAGCTGAGATTCAAAGCGTTAGAAAATCCCGAATTACTGGGTGACGATGCTGATTACCATATCGACATCACCTTTGATAAAGACGCCAAGACGCTCACGATTACCGACAATGGCATCGGCATGACCTATGAAGAGGTGATTACCAACCTCGGCACAATTGCCAAATCGGGCACCGCCGAGTTTCTGTCACATCTGACGGGGGACCAGGCCAAAGACGCCCAGCTCATCGGCCAGTTTGGTGTCGGATTTTACAGCGCCTTCATGGTGGCTGATGAAGTCGAGGTTGCTACCCTGGGAGCAGGCGCTGATCAGGGTGTGTTGTGGCGTTCAGCCGGTGAAGACGCGTACGATATTGAGAAAATTGAGCGCGCCCAGCGCGGCACATCCGTCACGCTGCATTTAAAGGATGACGCGCTGGATTTTGCTGAAGACTATCGATTGCGTTCAGTGGTACGGCGCTATTCTGACCATATTGGTGTGCCTGTGCGCATGCTGGAACAGCTATCGGCAGAAACTGATGACGCCCAGGACGCTGAAGAAAAAGTAGCCGCCTTTGAAGCGGTTAACTCAGCTCAGGCGTTATGGACGCGGCCTCGCAGCGAAGTTTCTGACGAAGAATATACTGAGTTCTATAAACACGTTTCCCATGACTTTGAAGACCCGCTCTCCTGGAGCCACAATAAAGTTGAGGGCAAACTGGAATACAACAGCCTGCTGTATATACCCAAGCGTGCGCCTTTTGATCTGTATCAGCGCGATATTCCGCGGGGTCTGAAACTCTACGTTCAACGTGTCTTTATCATGGATGATGCAGAGCAATTTCTGCCGCTCTATTTACGCTTCGTTAAAGGGGTTATAGATTCAAATGATCTGCCCCTGAATGTCTCCCGCGAGATACTGCAGGAAGATGACCGGGTCACTTCAATTAAAAACGCTTTGACCAAACGTGTGCTCAACATGCTGGACACCATGGCCAAAAAGGAACCGGAAAAATACCAGACTTTCTGGGACGAATTTGGCGAAGTGTTGAAAGAAGGGGCAGGGGAAGACTTTGCTAATCGGGAAGCATTGGCCAAACTGCTGAGATTCGCCAGCACAAAAGGTGAGGGTGCTAACAAGATGGTCAGCCTGGATACCTATCTCGAGCGCAAAAGCGAAGAACAGGATGTGATCTATTACATCTGTTCTGAAACCTACGAAACCGCCAGTCGCAGCCCGCACCTGGAAATGTTTAAAGACCGCGACATCGAAGTGTTGCTGATGTTTGACCGCATTGATGAGTGGTTGATGAGTTCGCTGACGCAATACGGCGACGTCCAGTTTGTTGATGTGATGCGCGGCGATGTGAGCTTGCCTGGCGAAGACAAAAATGCCAGTGAAGACGATGACAAAAACGAAGAAGAAGACGAGAAGCATCCGCTAGTTGAACGCATCGCAGCTGTTCTAGGTGACAAGGTTGACAAAGTCAGGCCTTCTAAAAGATTGACCCAGTCTCCTGCCTGCCTGGTACTTTCCGAGGACGCCATGGGTGTGCAGATGCGCAAAATCCTTGAAGCCAGCGGACAGTCTATGCCTGAATCTAAACCGATTTTTGAGTTCAACCCGAACCATCTGTTACTGCAGCGTTTGGACAAGGAGCCTGATGAAGATCGTTTTGCCGAGCTGGTTGGCATTCTATTTGATCAGGCCAGTCTTGCTGAAGGCGGCGCGCTTACCGATCCGGGCGCATACGTTGAGCGTTTGAACCGTCTCTTACTTGAATTGTTGGGAACAGATAAGTAAGTGGAAAACCACACCGTCGCAAGCTTGATTGAGGCGGTGCACGGGCTGTTTCAAAGCAACCCCTTGAGTTACGGGCATGGTACAGACAATGCCTGGGACGAAGCGGTTGCTTTGGTGCTGACGGTCACAGGCCTGCAAGATGACGAATCTGTGCTGAATACACAGGTGCCGGCTTCACAGGCTTCCCATTGCTTAGCGGTTGCACAATTACGTATTGATAGGCGTGTGCCTCTGGCCTACATATTGGGTCAGACCCAATACGCAGGTTATACATTTAAAGCAGAGGAGGGCGTGATCGTGCCACGCTCCCCGATCGGCCTGTTACTCAGCGATGGTCTGCAGCCCTGGCTACCCTCGTCCGTCAAATCAATACTTGATCTGTGCTGCGGTAGTGGCGTTCTGGGGATTGTTGCAGCACATATCTTCCCGCACGCCAAAGTGACACTCGTTGATGTGGACCCTCAAGCATTGCACCTTACAAAAACCAACGTCGCCGAACATAACCTGGCTGAACGTATTGAGGTCATCGAGGCAGATGTCCTCAAGCAGGGGGCGTTCATGCAGAAGTTTGATCTCATCATCACCAATCCGCCTTATGTTGATGCGCTGGACATGTCGAGTCTGCCTGCTGAATATGCAGCTGAGCCGGAACTGGCGCTGGCCGGCGGTGCAGACGGTCTTGTTTTCATTGACGCGATTATTGAAAAACTGCCGCTGTGGCTGAAGACTACGGGGCTTCTGGTTGCTGAGGTAGGCGCCAGCGCACCAGCGCTAATACAGAAATATCCACACCTGCCGCTTATCTGGCTGGATCTGCCGATGGGTGGAGAAGGTGTTTTTGTGCTTGAAGGCGCAGCGCTAAATTCCCATACTGCGCCCCGCTTGCAGGGTTAGAAGGCGTCACCATGGCGGGAAATAGTATTGGACAGCATTTTACGGTCTCCACATTTGGCGAAAGCCACGGCCTGGCCCTGGGCGCTGTGGTTGATGGGTGTCCTCCAGGACTGGAACTGAGCGAGGCGGATCTGCAGCCGGATCTGGACCGACGCCGGCCCGGCCAATCCAAATATACAACCCAACGCAAAGAATCTGATCAGGTCAAGATACTTTCAGGCGTTTTCGAAGGCAAAACAACCGGCACGTCTATTGGCTTGTTAATTGAAAATGAAGACCAGAAAAGCAAAGATTACAGCAACATCAAAGATATCTTTCGCCCGGCTCATGCCGACTTTACTTACGATGGTAAATACGGCATTCGTGATTACCGGGGCGGAGGCCGCTCTTCAGCAAGAGAAACAGCCATGCGCGTGGCGGCAGGCGCCATCGCTAAAAAATATCTTGCCCAACAGGCGGGTATAAAAATATTCGGCTTCCTGTCTGGTATTGGTGACATCAGAATCCAGTTGAAAGACGCCAGTCAAATTGAGCAGAACCCATTCTTCTGCCCTGACGTTGCAGTGCTGGATGATATTGCCGCCCTGATTGACAGCTTGCGCCGTTCAGGCGATTCCGTGGGTGCTGAAGTCAGCGTGCACGCCACCGGTGTGCCGGTTGGTCTGGGTGAGCCGGTATTCGGTAAACTTGATGCGGACCTGGCTGGTGCATTGATGAGCATAAATGCCGTAAAGGCAGTCCAGATGGGTGATGGTGTCGATGTTGTGGCGCAACGCGGCACTGAACACCGCGATGAGATAACCCCGGACGGTTTCACCAGCAACCACGCTGGCGGTGTGCTGGGCGGCATTTCCTCCGGACAGGATCTGATCTGCAAAATCTCGCTGAAACCAACCAGCAGTCTAACGACACCGGGTCGTTCAATTGATACCAGTGGCAATCCCGTAGAAGTTGTCACCAAGGGTCGTCACGATCCCTGTGTGGGCATTCGTGCGACACCTATAGCCGAGGCCATGATGGCCATCGTGCTGATGGACCATTATCTGCGCCACCGAGGCCAGATAGGTGGGTTCAAAACCGTTTAGTCACTCAAACGGTGATTTTCTTAATCAGTAAACCCTGTTAACACGTCAACAAACGCGGCTGCAGCATTGCTCAAGGTGCGGGTTGGATTGGTTACATGCCCCAGGGTTCGCGACATCGGTGCACAATCTACTGACAAAACCGATAACTCGCCCACCATGCTGCGCGGCAGCACGCTCCAGCCCAGACCGACGCTGACCAGCATGCCAATGGTTTCCAGATAGTTGGTCGACATCGCCGGTGTTAATACCAGGCCTTGTTCAGTAAAACGTTGTAACACAATACGACCAGTAAACGTGCCAGCGCCAGGTAATACACAGGGTTGTTGCGCAAGCCAGGCCAGGGTGACCGGTCTGGGACTGTCCGGAGCCGCGACAAAAACCAATGGGTCGTTCCAGATCACCTGAGTGTCCAGCTGTCGCTCGCCTTCTGGATTCAGGGTAACCACCGCCACTTCACTGCTGCCCTGACGAACGCGATCATAGGCAACTTCTGAATCTTCAAAACTGATATTTATCTGTACCTGAGGATATAAACCGACAAATCGACGCAGTACCGGTGCAAGTCGATGCAGACCAATGTGGTGGGAGGTCGCCAGGGTCAAACTGCCAGCCACGTTTTGCGCAAGATTGTGCAGTTGCTTTTCGGTGTCTGCCAGCGTTGCCAGCATCAGGCGCGCCTGGGGCATCAGCGCTGCGCCGGCTTGTGTCAAATGAACCTGTTTGCCAACACGATCAAACAGACGCGCACCAAACTGTTGCTCTAACGCCTGGATTCTCTTACTCACCGCTGGTTGGCTGATGTGCAGTGCTGCGGCGGCGTTTGAAAACGAAGCTTCTTCCGCAACGGTGATAAACGTCGCCAGATCATGAAAATTCATTAATAACCTTTATTTATCCAAAACATAAATATAATGAATTTGTTTTATCGTATCACCCCTCGTAGACTCGCGTTTTTTTACACACTCTCTTCAAACTTTTACGGGCAGGCGAGCGATGGCAGCACAAACTCTGTACGATAAGATCTGGCAGGCACACAGCGTTGGCAGGCGCAAAGATGGCAATAATCTGCTCTATATCGACCTGCAATTGCTGCATGAAGTCACCTCTCCCCAGGCTTTTGAAGGTCTTACCCTGCATAAAAGACCCCTGTGGCGTGTAGATGCCAATCTGGCAACGCCGGACCACAATGTACCCACCACGGATCGGGCTCTGGGCTTTAAAGGCATTACAGATCTGATTGCGCTGGAACAGGTGGTCACGCTGGACGACAACTGCAAGTCGTTTGGTGTCACCCAGTTTGAGATAGATGATCCGCGACAGGGTATCGTGCACGTTGTTGGCCCGGAGCAGGGGGCAACTCTGCCAGGTATGACCATTGTCTGTGGAGACTCACACACATCTACACACGGCGCGTTTGCAGCCCTGGCTCAGGGCATCGGCACCTCGGAAGTAGAACACGTGATGGCCACCCAGTGCCTGGTGCAGAACAAAGCGAAAAATTTTGCCGTGGTCGTCGATGGGCAACTGCACCCTGGCGTCAGCGCCAAGGACCTTGTGTTAACCATCATCGGTAAGCTCGGCACAGCCGGTGCCACGGGTCACACGATCGAATACCAGGGTGAGGCAGTACGCGGTTTATCCATGGAAGGGCGTATGACCCTGTGTAACATGGCCATTGAAGCAGGCGCCCGGGCTGGCCTGGTAGCCGTTGACGACACAACTATCGACTACGTGCGCGGACGCCCCTTTGCACCGACCGGCGAGCAATGGGCACAGGCGGAAGCGTACTGGCGGTCCCTGGTCAGTGACGATGGTGCACACTTCGATAATACCCTGCATCTGAACGCGGCTGACATCGCACCCCAGGTCTCCTGGGGAACGTCCCCGGAAATGGTCACCGGCATAGATAGCCACGTTCCAAGCCTGGAAGAGCTGGAAAACGACGTGCAACGCGAAGCTGCGCGGCATGCATTCACCTATATGGGTCTGCAACCGGGTAAGCCCATTGTTGAAATTGAGGTAAACCGCATCTTTATTGGTTCCTGTACCAACGCACGCATTGAGGACCTGCGTGCCGCAGCTGCCGTGGTCAAAGGTAAAAAACTGGCCGCCAATGTCAAAGAAGCGCTGGTTGTACCTGGTTCAGGCCTGGTCAAAGCGCAGGCTGAAGCTGAAGGACTTGCACAGATTTTTATTGATGCAGGTTTTCAATGGCGCGCGGCCGGTTGCTCCATGTGCCTGGGTATGAATCCGGACCGGCTGGCACCGGGTGAGCACTGCGCCTCCACCTCAAACCGGAATTTTGAGGGCCGCCAGGGCCATGGCGGCCGCACACACCTGGTCAGCCCCGCGATGGCTGCTGCGGCAGCTATTGCAGGACACTTTGTAGACGTTCGGGAGTGGCTCTAATGTTGGCATTTACAACACATACCGGCGCTGTAGCGCCCCTGGATCGGGTCAACGTAGACACGGACCAGATCATCCCCAAACAGTATCTGAAATCGATAAAGCGCACGGGCTTTGGCGACTATCTGTTTGATGGCTGGCGTTTCCTTGATGAGGGCACCATTGGCATGACACCCAATGAGCGCGCGATCAACCACGATTTTGTACTGAATGCCCCTGCGTATCAGGGCGCGAGCGTGTTGCTGGCGAGAGACAATTTTGGCTGCGGTTCTTCTCGTGAACACGCGGTATGGGCGCTGCAGGAGTTTGGTTTTCGTGCGGTCATTGCACCCAGTTTTGCAGATATATTTTACGGTAACTGCTTTAAGAATGGATTGTTACCCATTGTTTTAGAAGCAGAAATTATCGATAAGCTGTTCGCGGAAACCCAAAGCAACTACGATCTGAAAATCGATTTGAGTACGCAGACCGTGGTTACGCCGAGTGGTGAAACATTTACCTTCGAAATCGATCCGGTCCTCAAAGACAAGATGCTCTCGGGTATGGACGACATCGACATGACCCTGGCGGAGCGAGAGCTGATCGAGCAATTTGAAATCGGGCATCGCGCACGGCAGCCCTGGCTGTTCGAGCGGGCTTTTTCCGGTGAGAAAGCGGCTTCAAATAACAAGACAGAAGGAAACGCATAATGACTGCAGCAAAAATTCTGGTTTTACCCGGTGACGGTATCGGCACCGAGGTCATGGCACCTGCCATCGCCGTGATGCAAGCCGCGGCTGCGGCTGTCGATTGCCCTCTGGATATCAGTGAAGGCCTGGTGGGCGGCGTCGCCATTGATGCCACCGGCTCGCCGCTACCAGAAGCAACACTCGCTGCAGCCAAAGCTGCAGACGCCGTACTTCTGGGTGGTGTCGGTGGCCCCAAATGGGATCATCTACCCATGTCCGAACGCCCTGAGAAAGGATTGTTAGGCCTGCGCCAGGCATTGGGATTGTTTGCAAATCTGCGCCCGGCACTGTTATTTGCACCACTGGCTCAGGCATCTTCCCTGAAAGCTGAACTTGTTGCGGATCTGGATATCCTGATCATCCGGGAACTTACCGGCGGCATCTACTTTGGCGAACCCCGTGGCGTCGAACAGAGGGATAACGAACGGGTAGGCTTTAACACATTGGTTTATGCCGAACACGAAATCCAGCGCATTGCCAAGGTAGGTTTCGAGCTCGCGCAAAAGCGTGGTGGGCGCCTGTGTTCTGTCGATAAAGCTAATGTGCTGGAAGTGTCTGCGCTATGGCGGGAAGTGGTGAGCGCCATGCACGCCGACTATCCGGACGTTGAGCTGTCCCATATGTACGTCGACAACGCCGCGATGCAGCTGGTCCGCGCCCCTAAACAGTTCGATGTGATTGTCACCGGCAACATGTTTGGCGACATCCTCTCGGATGTTGCCGCAATGCTTACGGGCTCTCTGGGCATGCTCCCATCTGCCTCGCTGTCTGCCAGCGGTGTTGGCATGTATGAGCCAGTACACGGCACCGCGCCGGATATTGCGGGCCAGAACAAAGCTAACCCGCTGGCCACCATTCTGTCCGTGGCCATGATGTTCAGGTATAGCCTTGATCAGCCTCTGGCTGCGGAGCGTATCGAGCAGGCTGTCGCCGCGGTACTGGCTGAGGGTTATCGCACCGGCGATATCGCCAATGCGCAAGAAATGGACCAAATGATCGGCACCCAGGAAATGGGCGAACGCGTACTAGAGCAACTAGGATAAAATAAATGTCTAAATATCAACCAGTTAACGTTGCTATCGCAGGTGCTACTGGAGCTGTAGGCGAAGCCCTGATTGAGATTCTGGAGAGCCGCAAATTCCCCGTTGCAGAACTCTTTCTGCTGGCGAGCGAGCGATCGGCTGGCAAACGTCTGCAATTTCATGGCAAGAGTGTCATGGTGCAGAAACTGGAAGATTTCGATTTCTCCCAGGTCCAGATTGCACTGTTTTCAGCCGGCGGCAGTGTTTCGGCGCAATACGCGCCAATAGCTGCCGACGCTGGCTGTGTGGTGATCGATAACACGTCACACTTCCGCTACGACGACGATATTCCACTTGTGGTCCCCGAGGTTAACCCTGAACGCGTTGCTGACTACATCAACGCCAACATCATCGCCAACCCTAACTGCTCGACGATACAGATGGTCACGGCGCTGAAACCCATACACGATGCAGTTGGCATCAGCCGGATCAATGTCTGTACTTATCAGGCAGTGTCGGGGGCAGGTGCCGGTGGGATCAATGAACTGGCAGGGCAGACCGCCAGTCTGCTTAATGGCAAACCGATAGAAAAAGTTGTCATGCCTCATCAGATTGCGTTCAACGCCATTCCGCAGATCGATGTGTTCATGGAAAACGGTTACACCAAAGAAGAAATGAAGATGGTCTGGGAAACCAACAAAATTCTCGGTGACCCGGACATTGTGGTTAATCCGACCTGTGTCCGTATCCCGGTCTTCTATGGTCATTCAGAAGCAGTGCATATCGAAACGCGTGCGCAGATCAGCGCTGCAGAGGTCACCGAGATTTTACAGGCTGCACCTGGCATAAAAGTTATGACCGGGGAGCGCTATCCCACAGCGGTCGGAGAAGCGGCAGGTAAAGATCCGGTCTACGTTGGCCGTATTCGGGAAGATATTTCGCACCCCAATGGTATTAATCTCTGGATTGTTGCAGACAATGTCCGCAAAGGTGCTGCCTTGAATAGCGTTCAAATTGCTGAGCTTTTGCTCGATCATCTGCAGGTCAGCTAAACTTGTAAAAGACCCTGCAATAAGACATGGCGCCACGCTTTGCACTGGCTAACAGGTTTGTTGTCTGGAGGCATGTGCAATCTGCGCAATTAAACTGCCGAACGTTCAGGTTTTTGTTGTTTGTCATGCTGAAAGTGGTACATGTGCCCGCCTAAGCAGCTAACATCTGGGGTAACGTACCCAGTGAGCGCAATGCCGTGTGCTTTGCGTTTTATGAGCCGATGGCACCGCTGGGCGGATGGCGAACGAGAACGTCATAGAACGAGAACGTTATAGAACGAGAACGTTATAGAACGAGAACGTTATAGAACGAGAACGTAATAGAGTGAAAGTTGCTTGCACAATACGTGCGGCTTAAGGAAACAGAGCGTGTGAACTCACATGTTTTGTATAGACAGAACGACAGAAACGGACACATGGATTTGGACACACAAGCTTTGGCCCACACCCTCGGTTCAGGGGACAACTTTCCACAATCAATTCTGCGAAGGAGGGTCTTGCCTATGCTTACGCGCAAGTGCCAATGGCTTTTGATGGCGCTTTTGGCAACCAGTTTGGCCGCACCGGTTCATACCTGGGCGCTTGGTCTTGACGAACTTGATGTGTCTTCGGCGTTGAATGAACGCTTTGTTGGCACCATTGAACTGCTCGATGCGCAAGGTTTACAACCTTCGGAAATCGTTGTGTCGATGGCGTCACGAGAGGATTTCGATCGTGTTGGTGTTGAACGATTTTTCTATCTCACGAATCTGAAATTCAATGTCGAAAACGAAAATGGTACAGCGATCGTCAAGGTATCCAGCACGCAGCCAATTGCGGAACCTTATCTCAATTTTATCGTTGAAGTGCTCTGGCCTCGCGGTCGTCTGCTGAAAGAATATACTGTTCTTTTAGATCCACCGACGTTCAGCCAGGCAGCAGCCCCAACTGTGCAGACGCCGTCACAAGCAGCGCCTAGCGTTGCCCAGCAGCCTGCACAACAACCTGCCAGCGCAGGGACTCGCGTAGATCTGCAACCACGCAGCAGTCGTCCGCCCGCGCCACGCGCTCCGGTGGATGGCTTGATGACGACACGCGACGACACGTTGTGGAAAATAGCCTCACGGACGCTGCCTTCAGACCGGGTCAGTGTGAATCAACAGATGCTGGCTATTCAGCGTAAAAATCCGCAAGCGTTCATGCGTGGCAATATCAACTTACTGAAAGCCGGCTATGTGCTGGATATACCCAGTGAAGATGAAGCCCTGGGCGTAAATACCGCGGCTGCGACTCAGGAAGTGGCCGCGCAAACTCAGGCCTGGCGTTCCGGTGATGACAACGAACAACTGGCCAGCAACACACCTGCAGCAACGCCGTTAGAGGATCAGCAGCCACAACTGCGTTCAGCCGTCGATGCAACCCAGACAACCGCTCAGAATAATACGGTCGCAGATCAGGGGCAGGGCCAGGTGCGTATCCTGGCAAGCAGTGGTGAACTGGCAAGCGGCACCGCCAGTGGCGAAGACCCAAGCGTGAATGTCCTGATCGGCGAAAAAGAGACCTTGAGCCGTCAGGTCGACGAACTCACTTACCAGTTAGATCGCGAAAAAGAAATCGCTGCGAATGAAGTCACCGTGAGAGATCGACAGCTTGAAGTCAAAAACCAGGAACTGGCCGCCATGGCAGAGCGCCTGCGCGAACTGGAAGAACAAGCGGCTCAAGCGCCCCAGAAACAAAATCAAAGTCCCAACACAAGCAGCCCCGATACGCCCTGGTGGATGTCACCTATGGTGTTGTTTGGTGTCATTGTGCTTTTGATATTGTTTCTTGTTGTTGTCCTCATTCGCCTGCGCAGCGCACGCGCGGAGCAGGAAGCATTCGAAAATGAGTTCTTCGACGAGCCCGTAGACGACCAGAGCGCAGCAGTTGAAGTAGAAGAAGAGCAGTCCAGCGACTACGAAGAAGAGGCCGAAGACAACGCGGCCAGCGGTGCAGTCGAACCATTTATTGGCGATCTGGATGATGTTGAAGACGTTGAGGAGCTGGATCATCTGGCGCTCGACGAGGAACAGTCCGACAGCGACGCCGCTGCAACGCAGCCCTCAGCAGACAGTACCCAGAACGAAGCCGGAAAAACTGGAGATGCCATCGGCGAAGCAGAAATATACATTGCCTACGGCCGTTATGGTCAGGCAGCAAATTTGCTTACCAGCGTGTTGAACAGCGAACCAGAACGTTGGGATGTCAGGCTGAAACTGCTTGAAGTGTTTGTTGAATCTTCCGATGAAGCAGCCTTCTCTGAACAGGCGCAATACATCCTTGACCATTGTGACGATGAAGAAGTCCTGATGGCCTGTCGCGACCTTGAAGCGCAGTTTGACAGCAGTATCGTTAATCTCAGCGACGACGATGCTGCTGAAGACGCTCAAAATTCCAGCGACGATGACGTTCTGGAACTTGATCTTGACGAGCTTGACAGCTCGGAAACGTCATCATCAGCCCAAGACCCGTTAACTGACCTGTCGGCGCAAACCGAATCAGACGACATGCTCGACGACGCGGACACCGCTGAAGAAAATCCAGACATAGAATTCGAACTTGAATTTGATGATACCGACGACGTCATCACGAACGATACAACCGATGACGACAAAGGGGCTGGTGACGAACTGGGAGGAGACCTGGGCATTGATTTTGACCCAGATCGTACGCCACTAGACGAAGCTGTAGCTACTTCAGCCGATGACGCTGTTGAACTGGAACTGGATCTGGACGACCAGGAAACCGAGAATGAGCCAGAGCTGGATTTTACAAGTGAAACGCCGGATACAGGCGATGACTTCGAATTCGACAATCCAGAAGAGGGTGATATCAACGCTACCAAGCTTGACCTTGCTGAGGCCTATATCGATATGGGTGATGAAGACGGCGCGCAGGATATCCTCAAAGAAGTGATCGAAGAGGGCAGCTCTGAACAACAGCAGAAAGCTCAGTCCATGCTGGACAAGATGAAAGGCTGAGGATGGCCTGCTAGCGGCTGATATTCAGGCAGTCATCGTGACCTCCTATGTCATTGGCGTCACCTACAATGGCGCCCCTTATCGCGGCTGGCAGCGGCAGGTGCAGCAAAATACCGTCCAGGGTGAAATCGAAGCCGCTTTGCGGCGTATTGCTAACGATTCTGTCACTCTCAGCGTGGCCGGCAGAACGGATGCCGGCGTACACGCAACGGGCCAGGTTGCTGCCTTTTCCACTGCAACACAACGCTCGCTTCACGACTGGCATCGTGGTTTGAACGCACTCACCTCCGACAGTATTCACATCGATTGGATACAGGTTGCCAAGAAGGCATTTCACCCTCGGTACAGTGCAACAGCACGTCGCTACGTTTATGTTTATCATGATGTCGGCTATTCGCATCCACACCTGCAAGGTCAGGTTTGGGGATGCGGGCCCCTTGACGCGGATGCCATGCACCGCGCCGGGCAGCGTCTGATTGGAGAACATGACTTCACCAGTTTTCGCGGCTCGGGCTGTCAATCGATCACACCCCTGCGGCGGGTCAACCTGTTACAGGTGAGACGCCAGGGAGAATTTGTGCTGCTGGACATTGAAGCCAACGCGTTCCTTCTGCATATGGTACGCAATATTGCGCGTGCTCTGCACGATGTGGGCGCCGCACGCCATACTGGTAATGCCGTTACGCCGAACAGTCCTGCAGACTGGCTGGCCCTTAAAGACAGATCTGTTGTTGGTGCCACAGCACCGCCATCCGGCCTCTACCTGACTGCCGTATCCTATCCAGGTTACGATCTTCCACCGGCAGCGAAAATTTCTTTTTTAAGCACCTAGAAGTGACTTTAAAGCCGACCTGGCAACCGCTAGACTAGCCCGCTGAGTTAGCGTTCTCCACTAGAGTCTCCCTATTCGGGTGACGGAATCAAAATGCCTATTTCCATTCCTGACGATACATGGTGCAAGATCTGTGGGATTACACGTATTGAAGATGTGCGCACGTGCGAAGAAGCCGGGGCCGATGCAATTGGCTTTAACTGCTATGCGCGCAGCACTCGCTTTGTTGATAGTAAAACCATAGCCAAATTGAGTCGTGCTAACTCGCTCACCTCGGTGGCGTTGTTCGTTGACGCAAGTGCTACACAGGTTAGAAAAATTATTGATACTGCAGAAATCGACCTGCTGCAGTTTCATGGCAATGAAGATGCGGTATTTTGCGAACAGTTTGGCCTGCCTTACATGAAGGTATTGCGTATGCGCGCTGGTATAGACCTTGAGGCCGAAGCCAAGCGCTACACAACAGCGTGGGCACTCATGTTGGATACCTTTGTCGATGGTCAACCCGGTGGCACCGGCTCGACATTTGATTGGAAAAGATGGCCTAAAACCACAGATTCACGTTGGGTGCTAGCCGGCGGTTTGACACCAATGAATGTGGCTGCGGGTATAGAACAGCTTGCGCCTTTCGGGGTCGATGTCAGTGGTGGAGTGGAAGGGGAGACCCGGGGTCAAAAAGACCGACAGAAAATTTTCGATTTTATTCAGGAGGTACGAAGTGTCAGTGGCAAGTAAAGGCAGTAATTATGCTCAGCCTGGTGACAACGGCTTATTTGGCGAATACGGTGGACGTTACGTCGCCGAAACGTTAACCCATGCCCTCGATCAGCTCGCCGAGCTGTACGAGCAGGTCCGCCATGATCCGGAATTCCAGCAGGAACTTCACGAAGACCTTACTGATTACGTTGGGCGTCCAACCCCATTGTATTTTGCCAAGCGACTAACAGCAGAACTCGGCGGCGCGAAAGTCTATCTTAAACGCGAAGATCTGAATCACACCGGGGCACATAAAATCTGCAATACGATTGGTCAGGCGCTGCTGGCGAAAAGAATGGGCAAGCCACGGGTCATTGCTGAAACAGGTGCTGGTCAGCACGGTGTTGCCACGGCAACGGTAGCGGCCCGTCTGGGCCTGAAGTGTGACGTGTACATGGGTGCAGAAGACGTCGAGCGCCAGAGCCTTAACGTCTATCGTATGAAATTATTAGGCGCAAACGTCATTCCCGTACATTCAGGTTCAAAAACGCTGAAGGATGCCCTCAACGAAGCCATGCGAGACTGGGTGACCAACGTGGATGACACCCATTACATCATCGGCACAGTTGCCGGCCCACACCCTTTCCCGATGCTGGTGCGTGACTTTGCTTCCATTATTGGCTCTGAAGCACGTGCGCAGATTCTGGCAAAGGAAGGCCGGCTACCTGACGTGGCGGTTGCCTGCGTAGGTGGAGGCTCAAATGCCATGGGCCTGTTTTACCCGTTTATTGATGACCTCGACGTCGAACTGGTTGGGGTTGAAGCTGGCGGACGAGGTATTGAGACAGGCGCTCACGCTGCGCCACTGAATGACGGTAAAGTTGGGGTACTGCACGGCAATCGCACGTATCTGATGGCGGACGCCGACGGCCAGATCGCACAAACCCACTCAATATCCGCGGGCCTGGATTATCCTGGCGTAGGGCCAGAGCACTCTCACCTCAAAGACATTGGACGCGCCCGCTACGATAGCGCCACCGATGATGAGACGATGGCCGCGTTCCGCATACTCAACCGCACTGAAGGTATTCTCGCTGCTCTTGAGTCCAGTCACGCCATTGCCTGGGTGGTCAAGAATGCACCCAGCATGGACCCGGACGATATTATTCTGGTCAATTTGTCGGGACGCGGAGACAAAGACATCAACACAATCGCGAAACTGGATAACATTACTTTGTCATGAGTAGAATCAGTCAATTTTTTGTCGAAAATCAAAACCGTAAAGCCCTCATCAGCTTTCTGACCGCCGGTGATCCTACGCTTGCGCATACAGTACCGGCATTACATGCGCTGGTTGCTGGTGGCGTAGATATTCTTGAGGTGGGCGTACCGTTTTCAGACCCGGAGGCTGAAGGGCCCGCCATTCAGGCGTCCAGTGAGCGGGCACTGCACAACGGCACTACCCTTGTTCGGGTGCTGCAGATGATTACCGAATTCAGACAAACAAACACCCATACACCAATAGTACTCATGGGTTATCTGAACTCAATCCTCGCCATGCCAGATTTCCCCCAGCGTGCGCAGGATGCCGGTGTTGATGGTTTGATTATGGTTAATTTACCCCCGGAGTCAGCGGCTGAGTTACAGCCTCAACTGCAAGCCTGCCATATCGACCTGATATATCTGATTGCACCAACCACAACAGATGAGCGCGCGCGCTTTATCCTGCAGAACGCCTCAGGTTTCGTTTACTACGTTTCGCTGAAAGGCATTACAGGTGCAGACAATCTCGACACGGAGTCCGTGTCTGCCCGTCTGGCCCAGCTCAGGCAACATACCGATTTGCCCCTGTGTGTTGGTTTTGGAATCAAAACCCCGGAAACAGCAGAAGCCGTTGCCACGTTTGCCGATGGCGTTGTTATTGGCAGCGCACTTGTGAATCTGTTAGCAGAGCATGCTGACAACGTCGAAGCGGGGGCCACAGCGCTCAAGCAGGCAGCACAGGCGTTACGGGACGGCGTCAATCGCGGTGTGGATCACAGCTCAAACGGCAGTTAACCCGTGCGCGACCTTGACGGCTGGCTGAGTTACATTGCTGAACAGCACTGGCAGACCATTGATATGGGCCTGCAGCGTATGCAAACCATGGTTGCACGCTTAAACCTGCAGCAGCCCGCCGCTAAAATCATCACCGTTGCCGGCACCAACGGCAAAGGTTCGACTTGTTATGCCGCTGAGGCAATGTTGCTGCAGGCTGGCTTATCTGTCGGCACAACGTTGTCTCCTCATGTCAGCCGTTTCAACGAGCGTGTACGCATCAATGGTGAACAGGCAGACGATGCTTTTTTATGTGCAGCATTCACAGCCATTGATGCGCAACGTCAGGATTTACCGTTAACCTATTTTGAGTTCAGCGCGCTGGCTGCGTTGTGGTGTTTCAAACAATCCAATGTGGATGTATGCATTCTTGAAATCGGCTTAGGCGGTCGCCTGGACGCCTTCAACGTGATTGACGCTGATATTGCCGTTATCACCAGCATCGGACTGGATCACCAGCAGTTCCTTGGTGAAACGCGAGAAGCCATTGGTACTGAAAAAGCCGGCATTCTGCGCCAGGAACAACAGGTTGTGCTGGGTCCGGATATGCCTGATTCGGTTCTGCTGGCCGCTGCGCAACTGGGATTGGAACCCATTGTGTTGGGCCGCACATGGCAGGTCAGGCCCAACGCTGGTGAAGCGACCTGGGCGCTGTACGAAAACGAACAATGCCGCCTGAACGCGCAACCGTACCACCAGTGTTCGCCGCAGAATCTTGTGATTGCTTACCTGGCTACCCGCTCCCTGACCCGGTCTCCTGTGTCAGTCATCGCCAGAGTTAATCCAGTTCTACAGATGCCGGGAAGAATGCAACAGCTGTTTCACCAGGGTCGACGAATTGTGCTCGATGTCGCGCATAACCCTGCTGCTGCGACATTCCTCGCCCGGGAGATGGCCCAGCGCAACTGGCGGCCGAAGCTGATAGTGTGCGGCATGCTGCGGGACAAAGACCATGCGGGTGTTTATGAAGCCATTGCCGCCCGGACTGATGCGCCCTGGCTGCTACTGGACACGGATGGCGAGCGCGGTCTGTCAGCGGTTGATCTGCACAGGCGATTACCGCCAGCATCACACGCTGAGCCGATACAGTGGGACAACTTGATCTCCGAACTAAGTACCGCAACGCAAAGCGGAGATGTTATCCTTGCCTTTGGCTCTTTTGATCTGGTTGCTCGGGTCAATGAGCTGATAAATATTAACGTCACCTGATTCAGAGCCGCCTTGCGCCACGTACGCTAGTGATTAACTCTATATGAATGAACGTACCCGTTACCGGGTAACCGGCTCTATTTTCCTCATTGCGCTGGCTGTCATCTGCCTGCCAATGATCTTCGATGGTGCCGGCACCGCGGTCAATCCGCCGCCGCCAACGCCATCTCTAGCCATTCCTCGCGACACGCCTGCGGCGCAGGCCCTCGCAGAATTTGACGATGTTGTACCGGTAACTGATGTGGTAGAGCGTGTTGAAGCCTTGCGCGAAGAGGTAGATGAAGACGGTTTCGATACATCAAGCGAGACGCGTTTCGGTGAACCTACACTGGCCCGAGCCACTGAACAGACGCGGGTATGGGCGGTCCAAGCTGCAAGCTTTGCCAGCAAAGACAACGCCCTGGCTTTCCAGCAGAGCCTGCGCGAAGCGGGCTATGAAGCGTTTACCTCCACCGTTCGGGGCAGTCGCAGCGGGGAAGAGTTGGTCAGGGTGGCAGTGGGGCCGCTGCTCAATTTAAATGAAGCGCAGACCATTCAAAAGCAAATAGAAAATCGCTTCAATGTTGAAGCGGCGCTGATGGAGATGAGTCAGTAATGGGCGTTGCAGGTTTAGATATTGTCATCGCTACTGTGGTGCTGTTGTCAGCCGTCATCGGCCTTATACGTGGTCTGATGAAAGAGGTGCTGTCACTGGCAGCCTGGGTAGTGGCGTTTGTGGTGGCCATGTACTTTTCTCCTTTTGTCGCCCTCAATCTGCCGGCATCCTGGGGCGCCGAATCAGTACGCATGGTGATCGCCTTCGCCTGTCTGTTTATCGCCAGTCTTATTGTTGCCGGGATATTGCAGTGGTTGATCGCCAAGCTGGTGGAAACAACCGGGTTGACCGGCACCGATCGTTTTCTTGGCTTTCTGTTTGGCAGCGCACGCGGACTGTTGGTGGCCATTGTCATGCTGATGATTTTGCGCGAGATTGGCAGCGATACCGGGTGGTGGCAGGCTTCAATTCTACAGGAGCAATTGCTGGCCTTCGAAGGTGATGTACGCAATCTGTTGCAACAGGCAAAGGATCTTGCGCGTGACGTACCGACACCGGGCAGTTAGGCTTACACGTCGCATCAGCGGCATTTTCTGCGGTTCAACATAATCTGGGGTTACACATAAAATGTGCGGAATAGTGGGATTGGTCTCCAAGGGTCCAGTCAACCAGGCGATCTATGATGCGCTGACTGTATTACAACACCGCGGCCAGGACGCTGCAGGTATGGTCACCAGCGACGGCAATAAGCTGCATCTGCGCAAGGCCAACGGCCTGGTGCGGGATGTGTTCCGACAGGAACATATGCAGTTGTTAAACGGCAACATCGGTATTGGTCACGTCAGATATCCAACCGCCGGCTCTTCAAGTTCCGCAGAAGCTCAGCCAATGTACGTGAACTCTCCCTACGGAATAACCCTGGCGCACAACGGCAATCTGACAAATGCCGATCAGCTCAAGGCTGATCTGTTTGCCGAAGATCTTCGCCACATCAATACCGCAAGCGACTCAGAAGTGCTGCTCAATGTACTGGCGCACGAACTCCAGCAGCAGCGCGCTCTGGACCCAACCCCAAACGAAATTTTCAAAGCCGTTGCCGGCGTGCACAAACGCTGTCGAGGTGCATACGCGGCGGTAGCCATGATCATCGGCTGCGGAGTATTGGGGTTTCGCGACCCCTACGGCATCCGCCCCCTGGTGTATGGCGAACGTCAAACAGAGCAGGGCACGGAGTACATGCTTGCTTCGGAATCCGTTGCGCTGGATCTGCAGGGTTACACACTGCTGGGCAGTGTTGCGCCGGGCGAAGCAATTTTTATCACATCCGATGGACACATACACCGCCAGGTATGCGCAGAAAAAACACAATTGGTGCCCTGTATTTTTGAGCATGTTTACCTGGCCCGTCCAGATTCAATCATGGACGACATTTCAGTATATAAAAGCCGACTGCGCATGGGTGAACACCTCGCCGCAAGGATCATTGAACACTACGGTCAGCATACGCATGATATTGATGTTGTGATCCCGATACCGGATACCGGACGAACAGCCGCGCTACCGCTGGCGCACCAGCTGGACGTGAAGTTTCGCGAAGGATTTGTAAAAAATCGTTATATCGGGCGCACGTTCATCATGCCGGGACAACAGGAGCGGAAAAAATCTGTGCGCCAGAAGCTCAACGTCATCGAGCTTGAATTTCGCGACAAAAACGTACTGCTGGTAGACGATTCTATTGTGCGCGGCACCACCACACAGCAGATCATTCAAATGGCGCGTGATGCCGGGGCCCGCAAGGTGTACATGGCCTCAGCAGCGCCGGCTTTGCGCTATCAGAACGTATATGGCATCGATATGCCCGCGCGTCAGGAATTTGTCGCTAACGAACGCAGTGACGAAGAAGTTGCCAAAATCATTGGTGCTGACTGGCTTGTGTACCAGGACATCAATGACCTGAAAAACAGCGCACGGGAAGGCAATCCAGCGGTTGATGACTTTGAATGTTCCGCTTTCGACGGCCATTACGTGACTGGTGACATAGATGCTGACTACCTTAGCCAGTTATCCTTAGCACGAAGTGACCAGAATAAGCAGCGCAGTGACGCCCAACTCAACCCAGACGCGACAATCCTTGAACTCCACAACCACGGTTGAAGGGGTCGCGGTTACACGTGCCGGCGTGAAAAACCAGATTGAAGCGCTGGTTCAGGCACTGAATACAGTTTTACTGGGCAAGGAGCAGCAGATCAAGCTGAGCCTGGCCTGCCTTTTTGCGGGCGGTCATCTACTCATTGAAGACCTGCCTGGCATGGGCAAGACCCTGTTGTCCCACGCCCTGGCAAAAACGCTGGGATTGTCTTACAACCGCATCCAGTTCACTTCAGATGTTCTGCCTTCAGACATCATCGGCGCAACTATCTTTGATAAACAGAGTAATTCATTCCGTTTTATTGAAGGTCCGCTTTTTGCGCAACTGGTGCTGGCTGACGAAATCAATCGAGCAACGCCAAAAAGTCAGAGCGCGTTGCTTGAAGCGATGGAAGAAAGACAGGTCACTAACGATGGCGTTTCGATGCCGCTGCCATCTCCTTTTTTTGTTATCGCAACCCAGAATCCATCTACCCAATCCGGTACCTTTGCTTTACCCGAATCTCAGCTGGACCGTTTTCTCATGCGTATTGAATTGGGATACCCTGAGCCTGCAGCGGAACGTGAGCTGTTAATGCATGGCGACCGGCGTACGCACCTGAACACTCTGGCTGCCATAATCAGCCCGGCAGAACTGAGTAATATTCAGGCAGCGGTAAGGGCCATCAAAGCCTCAGAACCCGTGATTGACTATGTGCAGCGCATCATTGCGTTCAGCCGTCTCGGCAGCGAGTTTGCTTTTGGCTTATCGCCCCGTGGAGCGCTGGCGCTGTTGCAAAGCGCCAAAGCCTGGGCATTGATCAACGATCGCAGTCACGTTGTACCAGAAGACGTACAGGCCGTACTGCCCAGTGTGGTGGAACATCGCCTGCGTGAATCGGCCGACTTTACCGGCCATGGCGGTGGCGCGCTCGCCCAGAAACTATTAGGTAGCGTCGACGTCGTGTCTTAGGCACACAGTTTGAACGCTTTTCCCAAATTGGCTATTCCCAAATTAGCGTCGGCCAAAACCGAGCCAGCCAAAACAGCTCCACCTTTTTCCGGCAAACGCTTCGGCGCCTGGCTCGATAGAAGAATACCCCCCAGCGCTCGCATCAATCTCAGTCAGGCTAATATTTTCATTTTCCCGACACGTTCAGGTTTTGCATTTGCGGGCTTGTTGCTGATGCTGATTCTGGGCGCCATCAATTACCAGAACTCCCTCGTTTACGCCACAGCTTTCCTGTTAGGCAGCATGTTTGTGATTACCATTCTATACACCTTCAGAAACCTGTCTGGACTGTCGATAGAGATGGCGGACAGCCACAGTGGCTTTGTGGGTGAACATATTGAATTCTCCGTGCGTGTTGAACGACCCAAGGGTCGCGGCCGCGAAGGTATTCAGATTGGCTGGCCGAACGGTTACAAACAGTGGGTGGAAATATTTGATACTCAGGCCAGTGTTGTGTCGCTCTACGTTACCGCAGATAAAAGAGGGTGGCTGCGACCGGGGCGCATGCTGGTAGAAACTTACTTTCCGCTCGGACTGCTGCGCGCCTGGACCTGGGTCGACATCAACGCGCGCGGCCTGGTGTATCCCAAACCCATTTTTTCCGACAGCCCCCAATCCCACAGTGGCAGTCACCGCGACGACGGCGTTCTGATTGACCCTCTGGGCAGCGACGATTTTGTTGACCTGCGCGGCTATGTACCTGGCGATCCGATCAGGAACATTCTCTGGCGCTCTTACGCGCGTTCAGACGAGTTGGTTGTAAAGCGCTACGCCAGCTATCAGGAACCCCGCCTGTGGTTCGATTTTGACCAGCTCAGCGGCGACGTCGAAGAGAAACTCAGCCGGTTGGCGGGTTTTGCGTTAACCGCGACCCGTGCTGAACAGGAATTTGGCGTGCGCTTACCCCATCGGGAAATCGCCCCAGGCCTGGGACAACTGCACCTTGATCAGGTTTTACGGGAACTGGCCCTGTTTGGTCATAGTGATATTGAGCAACCCGGTGATGGGTAAGCAACCCATAACACCTGGCAAAAACGCGCCCCAGGTAGGCATGGCGTATCAGATACCGCGCAACTCCCTGGCGCTGCTGATGATATCCCAGGTTGTTGTGATCCTGCCGCTCGCAGTTTATATCACACCCTGGATTATCGGCGTTGGTCTATTCAGTGGCTACTGGCGAACACAGGTTTACCGCGGCCGCTGGGGTTATCCGGCAGGGTGGGTGAAAGCCGTATTGGTTTTTGCAGGTGTCTTTGGTATTGCCTTGAGCGGATATGGCACCTTCAGTCTGGAGGCGGCAACGTCTCTACTGGTGCTGGCTTTTGCTCTGAAGTTGCTGGAAATGAAAACCCGGCGTGATGCCTACCTGGTCATCTTTTTAAGCTATTTCCTGATCGCTACAGCGTTTCTATTTGACCAGGCCATCACCATGGCGGCTTATCAGGTATTGGCGGCGGTGATTATTACTGCCGCAATGGTCGGCATGAACCAACTGCAAAGCAGGGTGCGGCCGCTGGCATCAATAAAACTCGCTGCGGCGCTTATTTTCCAGGCGCTGCCTTTAACAATTGTGCTGTTTTTGCTGTTTCCGCGTATCGCGCCGCTGTGGTCTATACCAATGCCGTCATCCGCTACCACAGGGATCAGTGACAGCATCAAACCTGGTGACGTTGCTAATTTAACCATGTCCAACGAGCTCGCCTTTCGCGCGGTTTTTGAAGACGAGGTACCACCAACTCGTGAACTTTACTGGCGCGGCCTGGTGTACAGCGAGTTTGATCAAGGGACCTGGACGGTAGGTCGACCATTGCCACCCAAGGCTGCTCCTCCTGCGCCGGTGGGACCCGGAATCGGTTACGAGGTCTTCCTGGAACCGACCCAGGCTGAATGGTTGTTCTCTCTGGATACACCGGTGGACTATGAGCCCCGCCTGAAAATGCTTGGCGACTACCGGCTGATTAATCCTGAATCAATATTGTCTGTTAAACGTTACCGTCTGGTCAGTGATCCGCAGTACATCCAGGATCTAGAGCTCCACGGGTTGCTTGAACGCCGCGAAACCAGACTGCCCGACGACGACAACCCACGTATTCGCGCTTATGCCCGCGCACTGAGAGCTGAAGTGGGCTCACCGAGTGCAATGGTTGAGGCTATGCTTTCGCAGATTCGTAATCGAGATTATGTTTACACACTGCAGCCGCCAACCCTGAGCAGTATCAATAGTGTGGATGAATTCTGGTTCGACACACGCAGAGGCTTCTGCACGCATTACGCAGGCGCGATGGTATTTGCTTTGCGAGCGGCAGACATTCCTGCCCGGATGGTGGGCGGTTACCAGGGTGGCGAAGTGAACCCCAGAACCGGACACGTCGAAGTTCGCCAGTACCTTGCCCATGCCTGGGTTGAGGTGTGGATCGAAGGTGCGGGTTGGACACGAGTCGACCCGACCGCTGCCGTGGCGCCAGCCCGAGTTGAAAATGGCCTCAACGCTGCGCTTTCTGGTGAAGACCGTGCCGCCTTATCTTTTCTGACTAACGCCCGCCTCGGAGAGGCTGACCTGCTCAGTAGTGCCCTGCAATTCTTCGACTCCATTGAACACCGGTGGAATTTCTGGGTAGTCGGATATGACGCGGCGTCTCAGAGCGGCGTTTTACAAAAACTGTTAGGCAAAGTGACGCCGGCGCGGATAGGTATGGCGTTGGCAATTGGCGGGGGCGTGAGTATGTTACTGGTTGCCTTGACGCTGTTCTGGCGGCGACGACCCAGCCAGCGTAACCCAGCTGAACGCAGGTTTTTTAAATTCGCCAGCGCAATGGCCAGACAGGGCTACGCGCGGGCCCCCAATGAGACCCCTGCAGCTTATCTTCGGCGCCTTGCACTGAAAGCGGAACTGGACCCACAGCCTATGGTGCAAAGGTTACAGAGTTTCATGTACGACCCAGAAGCCAGTCTCTCAGATGCCGAACGGCGTCAAATGCGCCAGGACTTTCGAAAACTACGATTTAAACTTGCCTTTTCGACACCAGGCAAAGCATCCTAAGCACTGACAACTGTGTTAAAAAAATGAAGTGACGCAAACAAGACGTACGCCCTGTGTGGGCATCTGTTCTACAACTTATGGTGATCTGGTGTGCCGTGGCTGCAAACGTTTTGCGCACGAGATTGTGCAGTGGAATGGCTACGAGGCATCCCAGCAGCAACAGATCTGGGCGCGCCTGCAGGGCCTGCGTGACGAAGTTGTGGAACATACTCTGACCATCATCGATAAAACCTGCTACGACGAACACACCCAGGCGAAACACCTGCAGGATCTTGCAGCGGTGGAACAACGTTACGAACTGGTTCGCCATCTGGCAATTCAGAACATGCCGCTGTCTGCCGGCGGTTTACAGACATCTACAGCAACAGATGATGCGCTGACCACATTGCAGGCTATTGACGGTGAAATTTATCGTCGCTCTCTGGCGCACTACGAACGCAACTATAAAATTCCGGTATGAGTCGCCCCGACCTGAATCCAGCCCTGGAATTTCTGCACTGCCCAACACCGGATACATGGCTGGCAGCTGTGCCAGCACACCTAGATGTGCTGTTGATAGATCACGCGAATTGCGAAAAGAAAGCCGCCAGCACCGCAGTCAGTTTGCTGTACAAATACATTGATCAGCCAGAGTTGTTGGACAAGATGTCACGACTGGCAAGAGAGGAGCTCCGGCATTTTGAGCAGGTCCTGGAGCTGATGCGCGGTGAACAGATCAACTACACATATCTGAGTCCAGCTCGTTATGCGCAACAGCTGCATAGCCTGGTACGCAAGCAGGAGCCTGGGAAGTTAATAGATCTTCTGATCCTTGGCGCAGTGGTTGAAGCTCGCTCCTGTGAGCGGTTCGTTCGCTTGTTAGAAATACTACCGGAGCGCATCGGTGGGCTGTACCGGCAACTGGTGCACTCAGAAGCCAGGCATTTTCAGGACTATCTGAGTCTGGCGCGGTCTATCGCAAAAGAGAATATCGATGATCGCATCGAGTCTTTTCTCAGCGAAGATGCCAACCTGGTTACAACACCTGACCCGGAGTTTCGCTTCCATAGCGGTGTGCCAGGCTGAAACACTCCAGCCTCAGTTCCTCATCCCGCTGACGGGCCAGCCAGCCACATCGCTCCCATGCCCCTGTCACTAGACGTTTAAATCCGTGATGCTGATGCATGCCAGGACGGTGCGTGTGCCCGTGTAACAGTGTTTTTGAGCCATACTCAGCCACCAGACTACTTGTGGCTGCGTCATTCACATCCATAATGTTGGATGGCTTGTTAGCATTGTTTGCCTGGCTTTGCATACGTAGCGATTGGCCAAAGGCCTTACGTTCTGCAAGTGTTTTGCTGAGGATATCCTGCTGCCAGGCCTCACTGCGCAGCAGCGTACGCATATTCTGATAATCCACATCGTCGGTGCAGAGCATGTCGCCATGGCTGAGCAATAATCCATCCTCAGTCAGATGCGGGTCCGCCAGCAGCGTGACGCCCGTATCGCTGACAAACTTCTCGCCGAACAGAAAATCTCGATTTCCATGCATCAGATACACAGGCGTTTTTGCAGTAATCGTCCGGAATATCTGACGCAGCTGTTGCGCAGCATCGCTGTCGTCGTCATCACCGATCCACATCTCCACCAGGTCGCCGAGAATATAGATTTCGTCAACCCGCTCGGACTCATAAACAAGGCATTCATGAAAACGCAGGAACGCCGGTGCTGACGGATCGTCCAGATGCAGGTCTGAGATAAACAGGCGTTGCACTAAAACCCCTGGTTGGCTCTGGAAGCCTGCATAGTGTTCTGTAACAACGCAATCCGTGTCATCGGCCCAACGCCACCGGGCACCGGCGTGATCCACGATGCAACTTCTTTGACCGCATCAAATTGAATGTCGCCATAAAGCTTATTGTTGGCGCCACGGGTAATGCCAATATCGATGACAATAGCGCCAGGCTTGATCCACTCGACGGGCACCAGACCTGGCTTGCCTACTGCGGAGACGACAATATCCGCCAGGCGGATTTTCGCTGCCGTATCTTTGGTGAACTTGTGAGCCGTAGTCACCGTACATCCAGCAAGTAGCAGTTCCAGCCCCATGGGGCGACCCACATGGTTGGATGCGCCGATGACTGCTGCGTCGAGGCCTTTGAGGCTGCAACCAATATGTTCCAGGAGCAGCATGACGCCTTTTGGTGTGCAGGAGCGCAGAGTAGGGCGACGCAATGCCAGACGACCGATGTTGTAAGGGTGGAAGCCATCAACATCTTTGGCTGGGTCGATCTGATCGATGATAAGATCCTGATTGATGTGATCTGGCAGAGGCGTTTGGACCAGGATACCGTCAATACTGGGGTCTTCGTTAAGCGATGTGACCAGCGCCTGCAGATCGACCTGGGTGACCTTGGCACTGACGTGATGAACAATGGAGTGAAAGCCGACTTCATCACAATCCCGGCGCTTACCCTTCACATAAATCTCAGAGGCGGGATCATTACCCACCAGAATGACAGCCAGCCCAGGTAGCCGACGACCCTGATCAACCCACGCATCAATCTCTTCGCGTATATGCCCACGCAGTTCTTTGGCAATGGCATTGCCATCAATTATTTTTGCGGACATCGACTTCACTGCTTCAGAAAACGCCATTCTACCGATAAAAACAGCGTCACCCCAGCCCACAGGAAGAGATCTGAGCGCAACTTGTGGCTTAAGTCCATTGACCCGCAGAATCTTCGTAGTATGATCGCGCCGCATCGGGGTATAGCGCAGTCTGGTAGCGCGCCTGCTTTGGGAGCAGGATGTCGGGAGTTCGAATCTCTCTACCCCGACCAAATCAAACCTATCAAGCCGAATACTGTCATTAAGCGCCTGTAGCTCAACTGGATAGAGCATCGGCCTTCTAAGCCGAGGGTTGCAGGTTCGAGTCCTGCCAGGCGTACCAAACGCTTCGCGTTTGGTGTCGAGTTTTGGCTTTCAGCCAAAACGTCGCTCTACTATCGAGATCCTTCTAAGCTTCGCGTTTGGTGTCGAGTTTTGGCTTTCAGCCAAAACGTCGCTCTACCATCGAGATCCTTCCAAGAGTTGTCTTTGGTGTAGAGTTTCCAGTCAAACTGACCTTTTCCTGGTACTGCTGGACCTTTCCAGGGCATTCACCCGACATACGATTACAATAATCTCTAGCAGAACGCGACTGCCAGGCATATAATCCGCCACCGTTAAAACTATGGTGGGCGTAGCTCAGTTGGTAGAGCTCCGGGTTGTGATCCCGGCGGTCGTGGGTTCAAGCCCCATCGTCCACCCCAATTCTTAACCACCTTGTGATGCAGCACTTTACAAACGTAAATTGCGGTTAGGTAACTCACCAGAATGGCCGAACACCTTTTGTGTGTCACAGCCATTCTGAAAATCCACACATCTAGACACTGATTATCTGCATGAATGTATCGATTGAAACAATGACTGGCCTCGAACGCCGACTCACAATAGCGTTGCCGAGCGAGGAGTTCGAATCTCAAATCACAGAACGACTGCATGATGCCGCTGGTAAAGTACGCATCAGCGGCTTTCGTCCCGGCAAAGTGCCTCTCAAAGAAGTGCGCCGCCGTTATGGCCAGGCTGTCCGGGCTGAAGTTGCCGGTGAGCTCATGCAGCAGAGTTTTGTGTCTGCTGTGCAGCAGGAAGACCTCAACCCTGCAGGTTCCCCGAGCCTGGAAGTGGTCAAAATGGACCCGGGTATCGATTTCGAATTTACTGCGACATTTGAGGTGTACCCGACAGTCGATGTGGCTGATCTGTCTCAGGTAAGCGTGCGCAAACCGCAAGCTGAAGTGACCGATGATGACCTGAATACCATGATCGAGCGGCTCCGTGAGCAACGCACAGTGTTTGAACCCGTCGATCGCGCAGCCGCGGCGGGTGACCAGGTTACTGCAGATTTTTCAGCCACCTTCGAAGGCGAACCCGTAGAAGGCACAGCAGGCGAAGACGTCGATTTTCGTGTTGGTCAGGGCCAGATGATTGAAGACTTCGACAAAGGTGTCGAAGGGGCTAAAGCTGGCGAAACCGTTACTTTTGACGCCACATTCCCGGAAGATTATCGAGCCGAAAATCTACAGGGTAAAACCGTGCAGTTTTCCGTCACCGTAAAAGCGGTGAAAGAAGCTAAAGTGCCGGAACTCAACGACGATTTCTTTAAAAGCTTCGGTGTTGAAGAGGGCGGTGAAGCTGCTTTCCGGGAAGATGTGAAAAACAATATGCAGCGTGAAATGGACTCCGCGCTAAAAAACCAGCTGAAGCAGCAGGTTATGGACCAGCTGGCCAAAATACACGATTTTCAGATGCCGAATGCGATGATCCAGCGCGAAATCCAGGTCCTGAAAGACCAGATGCTCGATCAGTTTCAGATGGGCGGAGCAGGCCCCAAACCTGAATTACCCAGTGAACTTTTTCAGGACCAGGCAGAACAACGTGTGAAAGTTGGGCTTGTGGTTAATGAAATCATCAAGAAAAACGAGCTGTCCGTTGATCGGGAGATGCTGGATGCTCGACTCGGTGAAATCGCCGCACAATACGGCGAACCAGAGCAGGTGATCAGCTGGTATCGCTCTAATCCTGAACAATTGCAGAACATTGAGATGGGTGTGCTTGAAGAACAGGTGGTTGACCACATATTGTCTGCAGCACAGATTGAAGATGTGCCTGCGAGTTATGAGGACGTTGTCAGCGGCAAGGCCATTGCAGACCCTGAAGCTGAACTAAACTCAGAACAAGATGCCGAACCTTCAGCTGAACTCTCTGCCGAAGACGAAGACAGTAAATAAAACATAATTGCAGGCCCTTGGGTCTTTGCTTTTGGAGAAATGCATGACAGATATACGTGATCCGCAGTTGAACCCCGCACAAGGCCTCGGCATGGTGCCCATGGTGGTTGAACAGTCCGCCCGTGGAGAGCGCGCCTTTGATATTTACTCACGGCTGCTGAAAGACCGAATCGTCTTTCTAGTTGGCCAGGTAGAAGATCACATGGCCAATCTGATTGTGGCGCAGCTGTTGTATCTGGAATCTGAGAACCCGGACAAAGACATTAACTTGTACATCAATTCGCCCGGTGGCTCCGTCACAGCAGGCATGTCGATCTACGATACCATGCAATTTATCCGCCCGAACGTTGCCACACTGTGTATCGGTCAGGCGGCCAGCATGGGTGCATTCTTACTCGCGGCCGGCGCGCCGGGCAAGCGTATAGCATTGCCCAACTCGCGGATGATGCTGCATCAACCCAGTGGTGGATCGAGAGGCGTCGCAGCGGATATCGAGATTCAGGCCCAGGAAATTCTGCTCATGCGTGAGCGCTTGAACAAACTGATTGCTCATCACACCAGCAAAGACGTGGAAACGGTTGCCAATGATACCGATCGCGACTTCTGGATGAGTCCGGACGAAGCGCTGGCCTACGGTTTAGTCGACCACGTCCAGCAAAGTCGTGAGGCCGCAGCCGTAAAATAAGACCCGGTGCGCGGCAAGCCCACAGTAAACTGTTTACACTGTGGGCTTGCATTTGAAAAGCGCAGTCCGCACTGTATAAATCTATAGAATCAGTCATAATTGCGCCGCAAAAGGCACTGAAGTATCCATTCAGAGGCTGATTTAAGCAGGTTTTTGTACATTGTTCAGGCGAAAGGCCTGACTACCAGAATTAAACGTTGGCCGATGCAGTGGCATCTGTGCCAATTCAGTTAATCGGCAGCGCTATAAAAAGCGCGCATAAATCACGTAGAACAGAGGATCATATGTCCGACGATAGCGGCAAAACAGACGATTCAGGCAAACTTTTATACTGCTCATTTTGTGGTAAGAGTCAGCATGAAGTCCGCAAATTAATTGCCGGGCCCTCTGTTTTCATCTGCGATGAATGCGTTGAGCTATGCAACGACATCATCCGTGAAGAAGTCTCTGAAACTGCCCAGACCGGTGAATCCAGCAAACTACCGGTTCCCCAGGAAATTAAAGATATCCTCGATCAATATGTGATTGGTCAGGAACATGCCAAACGCGTTCTCGCAGTGGCTGTCTACAATCACTACAAACGCCTGAACTACAATGGCAAGAAAGACGATGTAGAGCTTTCGAAATCAAATATTCTGCTGATTGGCCCCACAGGCAGCGGCAAAACTCTGCTTGCAGAGACGCTTGCACGCCTCCTGGACGTCCCGTTCACCATAGCTGACGCAACCACGCTCACAGAAGCCGGTTACGTTGGTGAAGATGTTGAAAATATCATTCAGAAACTGCTGCAGAAATGCGATTACGACGTTGATAGGGCCCAGGTGGGTATCGTCTATATTGATGAAATAGACAAAATATCCCGCAAGTCCGATAACCCTTCCATCACGCGAGACGTGTCCGGTGAAGGGGTGCAGCAGGCACTCCTGAAGCTGATCGAGGGTACTGTCGCATCGGTTCCGCCTCAAGGCGGCAGGAAGCATCCACAGCAGGAGTTCCTGCAGGTCGATACGTCTAACATCCTCTTCATATGTGGTGGTGCGTTTGCCGGCCTTGATAAAGTCATCATGGACCGCTCTGATAAGTCAGGCATCGGCTTTGGCGCTGAAGTCAAAGGTGATGCTGATCGAAAAAGTATTGGCGAAACCCTTCGTAGCGTTGAACCAGAGGACCTGATCCATTACGGCTTGATCCCGGAATTTGTTGGCCGTCTGCCAGTGGTTGCGACGCTCGAAGAACTTGATGCTGATGCATTGATTCGCATTCTTACCGAACCAAAGAACTCGCTCACCAAGCAGTACGCCAAACTGTTTGATATGGAAAATGTTGAAGTCGACTTCCGCGAAGATGCGTTGCGTGCCATTGCAGCAAAAGCTATGGAACGTAAAACCGGCGCCCGCGGACTGCGCTCGATTCTGGAAGCCGTACTGCTGAATACCATGTACGACCTGCCATCATCCGATTCAGTAACTAAAGTAGTTATAGATGAAAGCGTCATCAAAGGCGAAAGCGATCCGATGCTCATCTACGAAAACGTCGATCAGGCGAAAGCTGCTCCCGAAGACTAAACTTACTTGTAACGCCGCTCAAAAACCGCCCAAAGGCGGTTACTGAGCACGCCACCAATTTTTTTGTCACTGCTCGAGGCACCCCCGTGGATTCTGCGCTTATAGAAAACATTCCGGTTCTTCCATTACGCGACATGGTGGTTTACCCCCATGGCGTTCACCCATTGTTTGTCGGTACCCAGAGTTCTATCAGTGCGCTCGATGCGGCCATGGCTGATGACAAACAGATACTGTTGCTGGCAAAAATAGACCCGGAGGTTGGCGAGCCGAAAGCTGACGATCTTTATAATCTCGGAACCGTAGCAACCATTCTACAACTGCTTAAACTACCCGACGGCACGGTTAAAGTGCTGGTTGAGGGCGGACAGCGCGCCAGTGTTGCAGAATTTAACTTCAGCGAAGATTACATACAGGCAAGCGTTACGTTACACGACGAGCCCGAAATCGATTCCCGTGAGGGAGACGCCCTGGCACGCACGCTGTTGGCTCAATTCGAACAATACGCTCAAGCCAGTAAAAAAGTGCCTCAGGAAGTTCTATCTTCACTTTCCAGTATTGACGACCCGACACGCCTGGTAGACACCATTGCAGCGCAAATGTCATTGAACATCAGTGATAAACAAGCTGTTTTAGAGGCATTACCACTGCAGGAACGGATGGATCTGCTGCTTGAATTGATGGATGCAGAACTCGACGTTCTTGAAATGGAAAAGCGTATTCGCGGGCGCGTTAAAAAGCAGATGGAGCAAAGCCAGCGCGAGTACTATCTGAATGAGCAAATGAAAGCCATCCAGAAAGAAATGGGCGAAAATGAGCAGGGTGAAGTCGAGGAACTGCAGAAAAGCATCGACAACTCCGGAATGCACAAAGAAGCCAAAGAAAAAGCCCAGGCTGAGTTAAATAAACTTAAGTTGATGGCGCCCATGTCTGCCGAAGCTACCGTTGTTCGTAGCTACCTCGACTGGATCGTCAACGTACCGTGGCAGAAGAAGAGCCGGGTACGCAAAGACCTTGCAGCAGCACAGAAAATTCTTGATGAAGATCACTACGGCCTAGAAGAAGTCAAAGACCGTATAATTGAATACCTTGCGGTACAGAACCGCGTATCGCGCATGAAAGGACCGGTACTTTGTCTTGTTGGTCCACCCGGCGTGGGTAAAACCAGTCTTGGCGAAAGCATTGCACGGGCTACAAACAGAAAATTTGTACGCATGGCCCTGGGTGGCGTGCGGGATGAAGCGGAAATCCGCGGCCACCGCCGGACCTACATTGGTTCGATGCCAGGCAAAGTCATCCAGAAAATGTCCAAGGCTGGCGTTGCCAACCCTCTGTTTCTGCTTGATGAAATTGACAAGATGGGTATGGATGTTCGCGGCGACCCGGCGAGCGCACTATTAGAAGTGTTAGATCCTGAACAGAACAACACGTTCAACGATCACTACCTTGAAGTCGACTATGACTTATCCAAGGTGTTTTTTATCTGCACCTCGAACTCGATGAACATACCCGCGCCGTTACTCGATAGAATGGAAGTGATCCGCTTACCGGGTTATACCGAAGACGAAAAGCTGAATATCGCCAAGCGTTACCTGGTACCGAAACAGACCAAAGCCAACGGATTATCTAAGGGTGAGTTGGAAATTACCGATGAAGCCTTATTGGACATTGTCCGCTACTACACCAAAGAAGCGGGTGTGCGCGGTTTAGAGCGGGAAATTGCGAAGCTGGCACGCAAGATCGTGAAAGCCCACGCGCTAAAAAAATCCAAGGGTGCTGCTCGTATTGATGCTGACGACCTTGAAGAATACAGCGGCGTGCGGCGCTTCAGTTATGGTTTAGCCGAAGAGGAAAACCACATCGGTTTGGTCACCGGTTTAGCCTGGACCCAGGCCGGCGGTGAATTACTAAACATCGAAGCCGTTGCAGTGCCGGGCAAAGGGAGGCAGACAAAAACCGGCTCCCTGGGCGACGTAATGCTTGAATCGATTCAGGCGGCACTGACATTTGTTCGCAGTCGCTCGGTCTCGTTAGGACTCGCCGAGGACTTTCACGAAAAATTCGACTTGCATGTGCATGTGCCGGAAGGCGCAACACCTAAAGATGGGCCCAGCGCAGGCATCGGCATGTGCACCGCGGTTGTCTCCGTGGTTACTGGTATCCCCGTACGCGCCGACGTCGCCATGACAGGTGAAATCACCCTGCGCGGCCAGGTATTGCCCATAGGCGGCCTGAAAGAGAAATTACTCGCCGCACACCGTGGCGGTATCGCGCATGTCATTATTCCCGCCGACAATGAAAAAGACCTGAAAGAGATACCTGACAACGTCAAAGCTAACCTGACCATACACGCCGTCAAGTGGATGGATGAAGTTCTCGAAATTGCGCTCGAGCGTGTTCCGCAGCCAAGATTGATAGATACTGAGACGGCAGCACAGGGTGACAATCAGTCCGAAGCAGGGTTAACAAGTACATCTACTGCCGTAAACCCACATTAAATGCAGGTAAAATAAGGCTTTCAGGCGCTTGCGCCCTCCGCAGGGTGTTGGTATAAAACGGCGAATCCCGTAAGGGTTTTGAATCTAGAGTAAATAATGTTGCTGCGCAGACCCGCGCAATGTCGGTATCCAACAAATACCCGCTAAGCAATACACAAGAGGGGCTTAATGTGAATAAAGCAGAGTTGATTGACCGCATCGCGGAATCATCAGATATATCCAAAGCGGCCGCAGGCCGTGCATTGGACGCCGCGATCGACGCAATTACTGACTCGTTGAAAGATGCAGATCCGGTATCGCTGGTTGGTTTCGGTACCTTCCTGGTTCGGGAGCGCGCCGCGCGCACCGGGCGCAACCCACAAACAGGCGCTGAGATTCAGATTGCAGCTGCCAAAGTACCCGCGTTCAAACCTGGCAAAGCACTTAAAGACGCGCTCAACTAGGTCGCGAGACTGGCATAAAGGCGCTAGAATTGCGCCGAAAATGTAGCGGGGCGCTTAGGCGCCCCGTTTTTTGTAAGTTGTATTGAGACAATCATGCTGCAGAAACTCAGAGAACAGACCCAGGGCACCGGTTTCAAAATCCTGGTAGGTGCCATCATTGTGGTGCTGACGCTATTTGGATTTGGTGCTACCAACTTGTTCATGGGCGGTGATCCTGAACTTGCCCAGGTGGGCAGTTTTTCCATCACTCAGAACCAGCTGGCGACTGAGACAGAACGCGAGCGGCAGCGATTACTGAGCCAGATGGGTCCAGACTTTGACCCCAGCAACATCGATCGATTGCAGCTGCAGGAATACGTCCTGCAACAATTAATCAATCGCCAGGTGCTTTACCAGGCGACAGATGAGCTGGGCATTGCCGTTTCTCCAGAGACCGTCAACGATGAGTTGATCAACAGTCCAGCTTATCAGGTTGATGGTCAGTTCAATGAAGCGATCTACAGGCAGCAGCTAAGAGCGCTCGGTTACACGCCGTTATCCTTTGTTGAAGAATTCAGCAACGCACTAAGCGCAGAAACGCTGCAAGCCGGCGTCTACGGATCTGTCAGCATGCCCGATTGGGAACTTGCGGAAATTGTGAGAATAATTTCTCAACGGCGGGACATCGCCTACCTCCCTCTGACGGTTGAACAATTCAGCGAAAGTGTCGAAGTCACCGAGGATGAGGTCACACTGCGTTACAACGAGAATCAGAGTGACTACATGACGCCCCTTACCGTTGACGTCAGCTACCTGCAGATGAGTGCGGAAGATCTGGTGGACGACAGTTCAATTGAAATCACCGAAGCGGACCTTCTGAGTCTGTATGAGGACGAACGCGCACTTGCACTGGCAGACGAGCAACGTGATAGCGCTCATATCCTGATTCAGATCAATCAGGACCGCAGCGACGCAGAAGCGCTTGCTGCCATTACAGATATCCAGAACCGTATCGCCGCCGGAGAAGATTTTTCTGAGCTGGCTAAACAATACAGTGAAGATGCGGGTTCTGCTGTCGCTGGCGGCGACCTCGGGCCCGCGGGTAAAGGCATATTTGACCCGGCCTTTGAGAACGCTTTGTGGAACTTACAGGAACCTGACGACATCTCCGAACCTGTGCTTACGAATTTTGGTTACCACCTTATTCAGCTTAAAAATATTGTTGTACCCGAGTACCCTGAGTTCGACACGATGAAGGAGCAGTTGACGCTCAGAGCGCGTGAAATTCAGGCTCAGGATCTGTTTATTGATAAAGCTCTGGAACTGGAAAGGGCTGCATATGATGAGCGTTTTTCATTAGACAACACAGCCGCCACGATGGGTTTATCCGTCACAAAAGTGCCAGGCGTCAGTCAGTCCGGTGGCAATGAAGACCCATTACTGAACGACCCTGCAATCAATTCAGTGTTATTCAGCAGCGAGGTTCTTGAAGGCACGAATAGTGACGCTGTTGAACTTAATGACACACAAATTGTTGTTGTACGCGTCGATAAGCAATATGAACCGGAACCCTTACCTTTGGATCAGGTTGCTGATGAAATACGTGGTGACCTGGTGCGCGAAAAAGCGCTCGCAGCAATTGAGGCAGCAAAAGCAGAAGGCATGCAACGTCTCTCCGCGGGAGAAAGCGTGACTGAAATAGCCCGCGATTTAGGCAGCCGTTGGCTCACGTTTGAGTTGGCGGCACGCGCGAATAGCGGTCAGAACATCCCCAATGCCGTACTCGAAGCGGCCTTCGATCTAGCGCGTCCTTTGCCAGGTAAAAAATCAGTGGGCATGTCCGATCTACCAGATGGAGCAGCGCTTATCACTGTGACCCGGGTTATACAGGGAGATCCCACGACAACAACAGATGCGGAAATCGAACAGCTGCGTCAAGTTGCCGAAAATCGTGCCGCTAGGCTGGATTTCCAGGGGCTGTTTGAAGCCGCGAGACAACAGCTCGGTGTCAAGCAGCCCGCCAGTTAAAACCGACAGATGGCCTGTTTCAGCCGCCAACTACATTGACGTAGAGTTGCAGCGGCTGACCGGGCTGCAGATAACGTGCTTTATCCAGCTTGTTCCAGTTCGCGATCTGATTGATAGACACATTAAACTTGCCGGCGATCTTTGCCAGCGAATCTCCGCTTCGGACCTTATAGTGAACTTTGCGCGTCACTTTACGTGTTTGTCCGGAAACGCCTGGAATCTTTAACGTCTTACCTACTGCAAGCGTGTCTTTGGGACCCAGGTGGTTGTTACGCATGAGCTTGGTCATGTCAACATTGTGCTTGCGCGCAATCGTCCACAGCGAATCGCCTGAGGCGACAACATAATCGACGTCACCTTTGGCACTGCGCGGCGTGGACTTAAGTGCGGCAGCATGTTTGGGTATCAGCAGCTTTTTACCAGCACGGATAGTTGACCCGCTTAAGTTATTGGCCATCCGCAGGGACGTGACGTCAGTACCATGACGACGCGCGATCTGACTGAGGGTATCACCAGAGCGAACCTTGATTTCCTGCCAATCTACACGCTGGTTTGCGGGAATTGCATCAATTGTCTGCTGCGCCAGTACTGGATCAATACTGGCGGGCACTATCAGCCGGTGTGGACCTTTGGGCGGCGTAGCCCATTGATTCAGCGACGGATTCCAACGGTAGATATCATCCATATCCAGTTCAAGCGCTTCGCTGAGCTTGGTTAACTGAAACTGACCATGGGTGTTGAGACTGTGAAAAGTCGTTCGTGGTTCAATCTTTGGTAACGTTATGCCAAAGCTCTGTGGGTTTTTGATCACCGCACTGAGTGCCAGCAAACGAGGCACATAAGCCTGAGTTTCTTTTGGCAGACGCAGATCAAAGAAACCAGCACCAGGATTTTTCCGTCGAGCGCGCGAGACGTTTCCCTGGCCAGCGTTGTAGCCCGCCAGCGCTAAATACCAGTCATCGAATCGTTTGTTCAGATAAGTCAAATAGTCCAGCGCAGCCTCGGTAGAAGCAATCACATCCCGACGACCGTCGTACCAATCGTTTATTTCCAGACCGTACTGACGGGCTGTACCGCGCACAAATTGCCATGGGCCAGCAGCGCCACCATGGGAAAAAGCAAAAGTATCCAATGCACTTTCGACGATGGGCAACAGAGCCAGTTCGGCAGGTAAACTGCGCAGCTGGGTCTGGCTATATAAAAAAGGCAGATAATTCTGTAATCGTGGCTGCAGGCGTTTCAGGTAGGTTGGGTGACGCTTCAGCCAACGCAACTCCTGCTGCACGCGAGGATGATCCAGATGCAGGTCAAGATACATATGCGCCCGCATCTCGCGCCACAAATCCGGTTCCGGCGGTGGAGCAGGGCTGCGCACTGGCGTTGTGGACATATCCATGCTCAACGCGGCCTGAGCGCCCGCCAGAGCCATTACAGGCTGAACCACCAGTAACGGCGTCGTCTGCTTAATGGGGTCCTCTTCGGCCACCACAGGCAGAGCCTGAAATTGCGGTGCCATCTGGCAACTGGCGGCCAGCGTGCAGCCGAACAGCCCAAGCAAGCCCAACTTGCAGGCCTTAATCTTGCTTTCAAAGGTCACTAAATTTTGCCTTTCAAGTTAACTTAAATAGGTTCTTTGCCCTGGACATCCGGTCTATGGCACTATCCCCCTGAAATTAAGCGCTTCTTTTTGGCTCTTAACTGGCCTGACGCTTTGATTTATCTTCACTTTGGCGGAATGTAAAACCATTGGCAACCAAACCGACCCCTCAATGTGACGCAGATAACGGTGATGCACCGAATCGATTAACTAACCACCTCTGGGACTCGCCGTTGGGTCGCGAAACCCTGGCTTTTGAAGCCGTTGCCATGGCGCCATTCGTGCGTCGCCTGCATGGTGATGTCATTATATGGGCGGGCGAACATCCGGCCAGCGCCAACGCATTACAGCGATGCATGGTTCGCCATTCATGTTTCCTGCAGCAAAGCGTGCAACGCGGACAGAGTGATATAGCCAGTCTGGGGGGACGTTTAGAAGCACTGCCTTTCAAGTCAAATTCAATTGACGCCTTTGTCCTGCATCACGCTCTGGAAGATACCGCCGACCCCCGCATTGCACTGCGCGAAGTCACCCGTGTACTGGCTCCAGGAGGGCGATTACTGATAAGCGGCTTTAACCCGATGAGTATGATGGGCATACGCAGACTTTATGCCCGCGTTTTTCAAGACAGCTTGAGCGGACAGCAACTGGTCAATCCGCTACGCCTTTTTGACTGGCTTACGTTGCTGGGTTATGAACTAGACGTACGCCCACTTTACTGCGGTTACGGACTACCGTTTTCGCGGCTGCTGAAAAAGCTGGACTTACCTCTGCTGGACAGATACGAACAGGCTATCGTCCAAGGCGCAAGCACCTTGAATTTGCCGTTCGCTGGCCTGTTACTTGTCAGTGCGGTAAAACAGGCAGTACCGATGAAACCACAGCGTCTGAGCAAAAAAAATCGCCACACTCTAGCGCCCGTCGCTTATCCTAGTGTATCGAATTGGCGAAGAATTAAACCTTGAATCAGAATCTTGTAGAAATTTTTACCGACGGGGCTTGTCGGGGTAACCCTGGTCCCGGCGGATGGGCGGCTGTATTGAGATCGGCAGGCAACGAAAAAATAATCAAAGGCGCGGTGATGGATACCACCAATAATCGCATGGAGCTGATGGCAGCCATCGAAGGAATACTGGCCGTCAAAAAAGCCAGTCGTGTGTCGCTGACAACGGATTCACAATATGTGCGTCAAGGCATAACCCAGTGGATTAATGGCTGGAAACGCAACGGCTGGCGCACAGCATCAAGGCAACCTGTAAAAAATAAGGATCTGTGGCAACAACTTGATGCAGCGCTAGCAGACCACACGGTCGAGTGGCATTGGGTGAAAGGACACAGTGGACATCCGGAAAACGAACTGGCTGACCAGGCTGCAAACGATGCAATTGATGAACTGATGGCTGACAACCAGTCGCAGTAAAACAACGAAGAGACGTAGATGAGGCAGATAGTTCTTGATACTGAAACCACCGGGCTCGAACCTGAGCTGGGCCATCGTATTATTGAAATTGGTGCTGTGGAAGTGGTCAACCGGCGGCTGACCGGCAGGCATTTTCATCAGTACATCAATCCTGAAAGAGACATAGATGAAGGCGCGTTGGAGGTACACGGGATCACACGTGCCTTTTTGCGGGACAAACCTCTGTTTGCCGAAATTTGCGCGGAATTTATAGATTTTATCAAAGGCGCTGAGCTTGTTATTCACAATGCCGACTTTGACGTTGGCTTCATGGACAGTGAATTCAAGCGCCTTCCAGGAACGCCCCTGACAGCCAATATCTGCCGCATAAAAGATAGCCTGGCACTCGCCAGAAGCAAACACCCCGGGCAGAAGAATAACCTCGACGCTCTGTGCCGACGATACGAGGTGGACAATACCCATCGCGAGTTACATGGCGCTCTGCTGGATGCTGAAATTCTGGCCGACGTCTACCTGTTGATGACTGGTGGACAGACACATCTCTTTGGCGGTGCCCAGGGTTCAAGCAATGCTGATACAGCTACCACGTCTGCGCCTCAGCGATTGCACGGGGAAGGCCTGCGCATTGTACGCGCGACTGATGCAGAGGCGGCAGCTCACGAAGACTATCTTGACATGCTCAGCGCCAAGTCTGGCGGCCAACCCATATGGCGCGGCAGATCAGCTGACTAGGTTCAGAGCAGATACTGCACGCATAACCAACCCGTTAGCCCCATTGTCAGCGTATAAGGTAGTGCCATGACTACCATGCGCATGTATGACAAACGTATCAACGGTGCAATCGACGATGTCAGCAGAAACAGGAACGCAGCCTGACCATTCGGCGTCGCCACACTCGGAATATTTGTACCGGTATTGATCGCAACCGCCAGCAGGTCGAAGTGTTCGCGGCTTATGGTGTTGCTGTCGAAAGCGGCTTTCACTTCGCCGATATAAACCGTTGCAACAAACACATTGTCACTGATAGCAGACAACAGACCGTTGGCAACATAGAACATACCCGGCTGGGAGGTTTCGGGTAACGACAGCACCCAGGAGATGATAGGCGAGAACAGGTGTTGTTGGTGAATCACACCGACAACAGCAAAAAAGACAACAAGTAATGCAGTGAAAGGCAGGGCTTCTTCGAACGCATGGCCCAACTGATGCTCTTCAACAATGCCGTTGAATGCTGTCTGTAGAACAATAATGGTCAAACCAATAATGCCAACTTCGGCAACGTGAAATGCGAGCGCAAAAACCAGGAAAATAGCTGACAGTGCCTGTATGACAAGACGCGCAACATCACGACCCGTGCGATGGGCAGCCTCATGTTCGTCAAACTCGAGCAGAATTTCGCGCACGCGTTCCGGCAACTTCTCTCCGTAGCTAAACCACTTTAAACGTTCCAGCAACAGACAGGTGAGCAAGCCGATGGTCAATACAGGCATGGTCACCGGTGCCATGCGCATAAAGAATTCGACAAAATCCCAGCCGGTATAACTGGCAATCAATAGATTCTGAGGTTCACCCACGGTGGTACACACACCGCCAAGCGCGGTGCCAACAGCTGCATGCATTAACAGATTCCGCAGGAAACCGCGGAACTGTTCCAAGTCGTCTCTGTATTGCTCCCCGATAGACTCATCCGCGCCGTGTTCATGCTCATCACGAAACTGCTTACCTGATGCCACACGGTGATAGACAGAGTAAAACCCCACAGCCACAGCGATCACCACGGCGGTCACCGTAAGTGCATCCAGAAAAGCCGAAAGCGCTGCTGCAACAAAACAAAACATCAGTGAAATCAGCGTTTTAGAGCGTATTTTTAAAAGTATTTTCGTAAAGACATATAGCAGCAGTTCTTTCATGAAGTAGATGCCTGCGACCATAAAGATGAGCAGCAGCAGCACCGGGAAAGCCGCGACGATCTCATCCCTTACGGTATCCGGTGTAGTCATTCCGAGAGCAACGGCTTCAATCGCGAGCAACCCGCCGGGTTGCAGGGGATAGCACTTCAGCGCCATGGCAAGCGTAAATATGAATTGCAGCACCAATACCCAGCCCGTTACAAACGGACCAGCGGTGAAGAGCAGCAGCGGATTCAGAAGCAGAAACGCAAATATTGTTGACTTATACCAACCCGGCGCCTGTCCCAGAAAATTTTGAGAAAACGAATTGAGAGTAAGCGCACTCATATCAAAGCCTTAGTTAATCTTCTGTCCTGTGGGTATTGGCCTGCGCCTGCCGCACGGCGTGTGCCCGTATGTTGCGACATACCGACGGGCTAAATTGTTGTCAAACAATGCCGCATTGATACGCAATCGGCAACAATTGATATCACTTGCATCGTTCTGTCCAAACTCATCCAGGGCAGGCCTCTCAGCTGCTTTTACGCTGCAGCAGGGAGAATTCTGCGCAGGTTTCCTAGACAGTATAGGAGGGGTTATTGCAGATGTGGTATTTTTGACTTTTTGCGAGAGGAGAGGCGCCATGTGGCCACATGATCCAGACGAATTTCTGCCATCACATATTGAGCCGGATGATGCTGACCATGGTGATGCCTGGTACTTTGTGTTTCATCGCGGAGAGTTGATCATCAAATCAGTCCAAGGTGTACCAGAACCCACAACTGCTGACGATTTCCGCTGGTTTGATATGGAAACGTCCAGCAAACACTTTCTCGGACACTACGGCGACAGGCCCTGTTTTGCTCTCTCTGCAAGTGGTCAGCTGACAGAAGGTTTCCAGACGACTGCGCTGCGTGGCCTGTTGGGACGCACGTCAGCGTCACTGTTTTACCTGGCCGGTCGCGCGCAACAGGTGATCGAATGGCACGAAACCCATCAGTTCTGCGGGCGTTGTGGGATCCCCATGGAAGACCATCCCAACGATCGCGCCAAACAGTGTCCGAAATGCCGGCTCATTAACTACCCGCGATTATCTCCCAGCATTATCGTGCTGGTGACCAAAGGCGACGAGATGTTGTTAGCGCGGAACGTAGGCTGGCCGAACGGTATGTACAGCACACTTGCCGGCTTTGTAGAAGCGGGTGAGTCGATCGAACAGACTGTGCACCGGGAAGTATTCGAAGAGGTCGGCATCCGCGTTACAAATCTGGAATACTTTGGCTCCCAGAGTTGGCCCTTCCCAAATTCATTGATGCTTGGTTTCCACGCCGAATATGCCGGTGGAGACATCGTTTGCCAGGCGGATGAAATTGCAGATGCTCAGTGGTTCAAACCCGACGGCTTACCGCAGACGCCTCCCAGAACCGCCATTTCCGGTTGGCTGATCGAAGAGTTCCTGCGGCGTCGCAATCAGGCTTAACCCGTTTCTGTAGCCGCTGGTGGAGGTGGAACAGGCGCGGCAAAAATGCGCAGCAGGGCAAACGTCCAGATGATGTAGCCGCTGCTGCGAAAATCCGCGTGCATAAAGGCATCGATCGGGCTTTGCCGGCCGCTGAATATGTCCAGTGCGCACTGCTCATCTGTAAAGAACAGGGTCAATTCCGGCTCCGCACCAGTCGCATCCTGATCGCCGCTATCAAGCCATTGCACAGCCCCCGACCCGATATGAGCATCCAGGAAACCCGCCTGCCAATCGAACCGTACACGCAGATCCAGCTCGCCTACCTGTGACGCATCGAAATGCTGTTGCAGATAATGATGCAATAAAGACATAAAAACCCGATTGAAAATGCAGGGGAACTGTTTAAGGCAGCAGCGGGGTTGCGTCAAGTCTCAGCCCGAATAGATTTAGCGTCGATGAGGGAGACGGTGGTAGCTGCGAAGCTGGAACCTGTAAAGCTGGAACCTGCAAAGCTGGAACCTGCAAAGCTGGTAGACGTCATCACGCCACAGCCTATACAGTAGCGGGCTATTTGAGTTCAGCAGTCCTATATGTCTTATCTTTTTGAGTACCTCATCTTCTTAGCCCAGGTGATGACCATCGTTGTCGCCATCGTTGTGATCATTTCTGCCATCGCCAACGCCAGTAATCGCGGGACATTCGGCGAAGGGCACGGGCATCTGCGCGTGACCAAATTGAACAACAAGCTTCGCGAACTGCGTCATGCCATGGAAGGGCAACTGCTGCCACCTGACGCGGTTAAGAAACAGCACAAACTGGAAGCCAAAGCAGAATCGGCAGCCCTCAAAGAAGAACAGAAAACACAGATTCAGGCGCTCAAGGCGCAACAGAAAGCCAGCAAAAAGCCAGCCCAGCCAGCCGCGATAGAAGCGAGCGAACCGGGTACCGGCAAAGTATTTGTGCTGCAATTTGAAGGTGATGTCAGTGCCTCAGAGGTGGAACATCTGCGAACGGAAGTAAGCGCTGTGTTGACGCTGGCCACACCACAGGATGAGGTGGTTATCTGCATCGAAAGTCCGGGCGGTATGGTACACAGCTATGGCTTTGCGGCATCTCAACTCAGTCGTGTCCGGGCCAGGAACATCCCGCTGACGGTGGTGGTTGATCGTGTCGCAGCCAGCGGTGGCTACCTGATGGCCGCCGTGGCAAACAAAATTGTTGCAGCACCCTTCGCCTTGATTGGCTCAATTGGCGTCGTCGCACAAATACCCAACGTGCATCGGCTGTTAAAGAAAAATGACGTTGACGTGGAGATCCTGACAGCAGGCAAATACAAGCGCACGCTAACCACGCTGGGCGAAAATACAGAGGAAGGACGAGAAAAATTTATCGAAGAACTGGAAGATGTGCATGCCCTGTTCCAGGAGTTTGTTGTAGGAAACCGTCCCGATCTGGATATTGATGCGGTAGCTACCGGAGAAGCCTGGTATGGCAGCCGCGCGATCAGTCTTGGCCTGGTAGATGAACTGGCAACCAGCGATGAGTATCTGACACACTGCTGTGAAGACCGGGATGTTTATCAGGTGCAGTGGGTGGAACATCAAAAGGCACTCGACAAAATTCTTGGCAAGGTCAACACCCTCGTCGACAACGTCGGCCAGGTGTTTGCACCTAACAGACACTGACAGCAACTATTCGAATGCTTACCAGTAGGTAACAATACTCAACAGGGGATAAGGAAAACAACCATGGCATTTACTGCTTTCTGGATTGAAAAAAACGACAAAACATTCACCCGTTCCGTCATCGAACGACAGGAAGCAGACCTGCCTGCCGGCGATGTGATGATTGATGTCAAATTCTCATCACTGAACTACAAAGATGCTCTATCTGCCACCGGCAACCCCGGTGTCAGCCGCAACTTCCCGCATACACCTGGCATCGATGCGGCTGGCGTTGTTCTGGAAAGCAGCTGTTCTGACTTTGCTCCGGGTGATGAAGTAATCGTGATTGGTTTTGATCTCGGCATGAATACGCCTGGCGGTTTTGCTCAACGAATTCGCGTGCCGGCAGAATGGGTTATCAAGTGTCCTGAGAAACTCAATCTTCACACCAGCATGTTGTTAGGTACGGCAGGCTTTACGGCCGCAGAATGTATTGACAAGTTAACCAACGCAGGTATGACGCCTGCATCCGGGCCCGTACTGGTTACCGGCGCAACCGGCGGCGTCGGCTCAGTAGCCGTTAAGCTGCTTGCACACCTGGGCTATGAAGTTGTCGCTGTTACAGGCAAACCCGAACAACATGAATTTTTGAAATCGCTGGGAGCATCAGAAATCTTAAGCCGCGAAGACGCATCCGCAGGTGTTGAAAAACCATTGCTCGCAGAACGCTGGGGCGGCGTCGTCGACACAGTTGGTGGTGACATAATGTTTAATGCTGTCAAAAGTCTGAAGTATGGGTGTAGCCTTGCCGCATGTGGCCTGGTTGCTGGTGCCGGTTTTCAGGGTAACGTGTTGCCCTTTCTGTTACGCAACGTCAACCTGCTGGGCGTTGATTCAGTAGAACTGCCGTTAGCAGAAAAAAGCCGTATCTGGACAAGGCTGGCGCAGGAATGGCACGTTGACCTTGCTGAGCTGGAAGAGCCGCTTACGTTGGATACCTTGTCCGATGCGATTGATCGTATTTTGGCAGGGCAGATGGTCGGACGTGGCGTTGTTAAACTGTAACCTGTCGGTACGGTGGGTATCCACGCAGGGCGCCAAGGTGGAATCAGTCCCGACGCAGTTTAGGATTTGGTGCAATAGGGCTCGGGTAGCGAAAAATGACAAAGTAGCTGCTCAACACTAATGTGAGAACGGTCGAGAACTGTATGATCAATGCCGCTTTCTCACCCACCAGGGCGTTTGCAATCGCGATGTAGGATAGCAGCAGGGAAAATTCGGAAGCTTGCCCGAGCCGATACCCCACCTCCCAGGCTACTTTGGTGTCTTCGCCCTGATACTTGAGCAAACCGGCAAAAACCAGCGGCTTCAGGGCGATCAGCAAAGCCGCCAGCAGCGCCGCTGGTAACCAGACTTCTGGCAGCAGGCCGATGTTTAACGCCGCACCCACCGAGAAGAAAAACAACACCAGAAAAAAATCGCGCAGCGGTCGCAGGCTTTCTGCGATGTACTGTGATATTGGGCTGGTGGCCAGCGATACACCGGCGATGAACGCACCTATTTCCAGCGATAAGCCGAAAAATGCTGCCAGGTGTGCTATCGCCAGACACCATCCAATCGCCAGCAGGAAAATATATTCATGGAAGGCATCAAATGCCCTGATCAGATAAAGCAGGCCGTACTTAACGCCAAGGAAGGCCAGCAGAGCAATTAAAGGTAAACCGACAAATATGGACGCAAGACTGCTGAGCAGGGCGGCAGCATCAACGCCCAAACCATTCAGGAGCAGGATCGCAAGAATAGCCAGCAAATCCTGAATCAACAGCAGCGCGACAACAAGCTCACCCACGTGGCGATGGTGTAAAGCGGTTGTCGGCAGCAGCTTTATTCCCAGAATAGTGCTCGAAAACGACGCCGCTATGCCGGTCACAGCCGCTTCGATGAGGGTAAAACCAAAACCCAGCATGACCGCAAAACCAATCGCAAAAAATGCCAGCGTCGTCACAAGTGCTGTTAACAGTGACTCGCCAACCATATTTTTAAGCTTGCTGGGTTGCAGATCTAAGCCGACGAGGAACAGAAGGAAAATAATACCGAATTCAGCAACTTCTGAGAGCAGAGCCGGGTCATCAACCCAGCTCATACCAAAAGGTCCAAGCAAACAGCCTAGCGCAACATAGGCCACCAGCATGGGTTGTCGCGTGTAGAGGGCAAAGGTCGCCAGCACCGCGGCGCCGGCAAATATGTAGAAAAACGACTCAATGATGCCTGCGTGGGGCATGGTGACGTAAGTGCTCTTACTGAGATGAACGCAGCCTAGTGTACGCGGGGATCAGCCGCGTTGCATGCGCCGAAAAGATGGCTCCGGGTTGTCGACAGAACCCTGATACACATTGCTGTATGGGCTGATCAAAGCAAGCGCGGTCTGCACATCACGTTCATCCGGAATCTCCAGAGCATCAAAACCGCAACGCACCATGTAATGCAGAATATCTTCATGCACAGCACCTACCGCACGCAGTTCACCGGCGAACCCCAGACGCGTGCGCAGCAAAACGGCCAGTGAAAGTGCGCGACCGTCATTAAATGCTGGAAACTCAATCGCGATGCGTTCGGCGGTCGAGAATTCAGGCAGCGGTTCTGCGTCTGCACTGAGCAACAGAGGCTGGCCACTGTGCCAGTCTTCCGGCGTCTGCCATTGCACGTCTGTTGCTTCAGGTGCAATTGCCCAGCCGTTTGCTGTGGCTTTAATCAGCGTTGGCATAAACTCTCTCTTTAAATGGATCAATGGATATGCGTTTGAAACAGCTTAAAAACTGCTCACCTTCCAGACGCTGTTGCAGGTAGACCTCAAAAATTGCGGCAACCACATCGGTGACTTCTTCACGCGCCACACTTGGCCCGACGATCTGTCCGAGAGAAGCAGGTAAACCGGAATGCCCGGAATGGCCACCTAATGAAATCTGGTAGAACTCCTGGCCTTTCTTATCAACGCCCAGAATTCCGATGTGGCCAACATGGTGATGACCGCAGGCATTCATACAACCAGAAATATTGATGTCCAGGTCGCCCAGATCATGAAGATAGTCAACGTCGTCAAAGCGCTGCTGAATGGCTTCAGCCACGGGAATTGACTTAGCGTTAGCCAGCGAACAGTAGTCTCCGCCAGGACAACAGATAATATCTGTCAGCAAGCCAATGTTCGCCGTACCCAGATCATGGGCCGTTGCCGCCTGCCAGAGTTCAAAAAGGTTCTGCATAGGCACATGGGGAAGTACGAAGTTCTGTTCGTGAGAGATGCGCAACTCGCTGAAGCTGAAACGCTCCGACCAATCAGCCACTGCATCCATCTGCTCGTCGCTGACATCTCCAGTAGGCACGCCGGTGACTTTCGTAGACAGAACAACAACGGCATAACCCGTTTGTTTGTGCGGTTTGACGTTATGCTGTAGCCAGCGTCCAAATTCAGGGTGTTCAAAACGAAGCGCGTCAAGCTGTGCTGTGGCATCTTCCAACTTATCAAAAGCGGGGGGCTCGAAGGCAGCAACCATACGTTCAACTTCGGCATCCAGCAGAGTAGAGGGGCCATCTTTGACCTCTTGCCAATCTTCTTCAACTTTGGCTTTGAAAGCATCCGCACCCATGGCGCGAACGAGAATTTTAAT